TTAACGAACGAATTCATGATGCTCATGGCCTTGCTGGAGACTCCAGTGTCAGGGTGAACTTGCTTCAAGACCTTGTAGATGTAGATAGCGTAGCTCTCCTTCCTCTTGCGCTTCTTCTTCTTGTCGGTTTTAGTGATGTTCTTCTGGGCCTTTCCAGCCTTCTTCACAGCTTTGCCGCTAGCCTTGGGTGGCATCGTCGTAAAATTGTACTCTTCACTGACTGAGGAACAGAGGTGAAATGTGATTTCGCAGGGAAAGCCGTTGTTTTTAATACAGTCCGCGTCGACAGCGCCGAACCAATCAGCTACGCTCAGTTGCGGTGATGCGCGCGCATTGACTCGGCAGTCCATGCGTCTGAGGCTATATAAATGGTGGGGAGCGTCTGAAAAAAACATTAAAACCTCAGTTCTCTACCGGAGAACTGCTTTTAGTAAACGTTAAATTTTCATTCTATCATCATGTCTGGTCGCGGCAAAGGTGGAAAAGTCAAGGGCAAGTCAAAGACTCGCTCTACCAGGGCTGGCCTTCAGTTCCCAGTTGGTCGTATTCATCGTCTCCTGCGCAAAGGAAATTACGCAGAGCGTGTCGGTGCTGGAGCTCCAGTTTACCTCGCTGCAGTTATGGAGTACTTGGCTGCTGAGGTCCTCGAGTTGGCAGGCAATGCCGCTCGTGACAACAAGAAGAGCAGGATCATCCCTAGACATCTGCAATTGGCCATCCGTAACGATGAGGAGTTGAACAAGCTTTTGTCCGGAGTTACCATCGCTCAGGGTGGTGTACTTCCCAACATCCAGGCTGTTCTGCTCCCCAAGAAGACCGAGAAGAGCAGCTCGTAATTCGCTCAATAATAAAAATCGGCCCTTTTCAGGGCCACAAAATTTTTTAACGTTGAAAATTCATATTGCCGTTCTCCTCATTTTTCTCAACTGTTTTCAGCTTTCGTTTTTTCCTTGATGAATCAGTCAATTTACATTTTTTGACGTTTATGACATTCAATCCGTGCTTTTTGATAAACAGCCATAATTAATTATTGCTTCCGGATGGAGCATTTGATTTGAATTTGTCAGATTACTTGGTTTGATTATTTCATTTGTCGAAGTTTTTTTTTGAATTCGATAAGTTATTCGCACATTATTATTGAAGAGAATTCATTTGTTTAATGCCACGCAAAACCAAGTTAGAGTTCGTGTCGATTATAATGAAAATAAATTGATTCAAATTCGTACCAATCTCGATTCGATAAAAAAGCAGACTTATGGTTCGAACCTGCCTGAACTCGCGCCAAACCTGGATCAAGACTTCTACCTGGAGCGTTCAAGAAGAGGAACCGTGGAGCAAAGTCGATGAGACGCCCATGATATTATGAAAATTTCGGTTTCCCGTTCCTCCCTCTAGGCACTTGTTGTAGTCTTTCGTGAAGGTGAGTTTTCTGCTTTTATTTGTCTCTTTTTAAATTACTCAACAAATTTTTCGTCCAAGATTTACAACTGTTTCTATTGAACAGGATATACCTCTTGTATTTAGTGAGTTGGGTCCGTTGCATTACCCGGAGTTTTTATTGTTTTTATTTCTGCATGTATTTCCAATCCTTGAAATGTGTACATAATTTAGTCATATATTTTTCCAAGTGCCTCAATTGTCGTTGATGAATTATTCCACGTCTTTAATATTGGAGAATAAAAATTGTCTTCCTGGTGATGGGAATGCATAACTCTACGTACTCGAGTCTTGGAGAAAAAATTCATTTTCTACAATATATAAATCTGTCGGAAATTCGTAAATCAGTAATGATCGTAAAAGAATCCGGAAAGTTGTAATACAATCCCCAGTCGCATTGGGATCACCCGTGATACGACCCAAGAGTTAAAGAATCAATTCAAGGACAATTGTGTTCATACGAGGTAGTAAAGACGCGTGCTGGATGCATCCTTCAACGATGATGCATCTGCGAATCCGTTCTCTTGATGAGCAAAAACTCAACTATTGAGAGAAATTTATACGCATTAATTTCAGTTCCAAATGAATTTCTCGGCTTGAGGTGATGTTCGCACTTTCAAAACGAAAATTGTCAATCGGAGAACTATCGTTGGGAGACTGATGCACTTAGTGTGAGGTGTTTTCTCTTTATCACCGAGCGCTGAATTTTCTTACATCTACTATTTTAGTTATTATGAGGTCTTGCTGGGCGAACGCGGGGGTCCATGAACCCTAAAAAAATTCCGTACATCTAAAAAAATTCCGATTGTTCTCCTCCAGCCTATACGTTTTTAGTATTGTCCGCTGAGTGGTACAGACACACCCTCCCTTATGCTGCGCTTCGTCGGCGAACGAATTTATTCGAAGAGGGGGCAGTAGTGATAATAGGATTGACGGGGCAGTTGGTCTACCAGTTTACAACAGAAGTTCTCTGAGGACTCATTGGGAAAATCAGAGGTTTCGAAGGTCATTTCGGTCTTCGGGAGTCATCATGCAGATCGAAGGAGTAGTGAATGGTAACAATTTCTAAGGAATCCTAAGTGCAAAGGACGATTCCATGGTGCATTGACAATTTTAATATAATTCGGTGAATATTTTACCTCAGATCGTGTGGATATCCAAACCGTGGAAACAGATGTGGAAACTGCAGTTACGTTCACAGGTAAAGGGAGAACAGGGAGTGAAGACTACCCCCTATACAACATTTTTCTATTGATTATAAACATAGTTTGGTCGAACATTATTAATCTCGTATATTTATTTCAATGACAATATTTTAGATATTCTATGGAATGCATAATTCTTTCATTCAAATAAAGGATTATTGCGTGTTAATAAATTTATTGGCTCTGCCGATCAAATGACGATTGCATTTCTAACTAATGGAGTCTTCATTTTGACAAAGGCAACATTTATTTCCATTGAACAATCTGAACAATTAATTCAGTAGCGAAGTGGTAAAGCGGTTTAAGTCGACTTATCTCTTAGTTGAGTTTTTGAAGAATATCTCCGAATCTAAAGGAGTTAATGAAATTTTCGTAATAACCTTTTTTCTAGAGCAAATTGAGCGCTACATAAAAGGTATTAACAAAAATTTTGCTATCTCCCTTAGATTCTGAGATATTCACTAAAAACTGGCCAGTAGTCAAAATCGACTTAAACCGTTTTGCCACTTCGCTACTGAATTAAAAAATGAATATAAATTAAGTCCAAGTTCGAATAAAAGCTTCATCATAAGCTGTTTGCATACCCATGTATTCGATTGGATTAAAATTTATTTAATTCACATAAACCATTTCTGTTAGTGTACGGAGAAAATAAAATCGATGACAATGAAAACCTCATTTTTTCAGGATTTGGAAAATTCAACATTAAAATTTTAGTTGTGTGTGGATTAATTTATATGAATACGGGATTCAGTATTAGCAGTGTGGGATTGATCCTCCCGTCAGCAGCGTGTGACTTCCAACTTACGACGATTGATAAGGGTCGTATATCCGCTACGCCTACGTTAGGTATCTTTATTAATTGATTCATTTTTAATTTTTTCCCTCTGACATTGCGCCCAGGCCGTGACGGAAAATAACGTCCTGGCCACCTGGAGAGAACTCTTCGAAATAAGACACAATTAAAATCCAGGACAAATCAATAAAAATTCTGTGCCCAATATGAAAATTATCTTCAGTGTCAAACTTTTATAATAAATCATTTTGTTTCTGCGTTCCCAAAATGGCGTATTATTTCGGACCACCCTAGTGAAACGATAGACTATTATCTAAAAAAATAATTGAGGAATTTGCTGGAACAATTTTTTACTCTCATCCAAGTTTGCTTCAATTCCCGTTAAATACTTGAATTAAAGATGAGAACATTCTTCAGAGGGTTGTTTTCATGTTCTCGGAAATAACACACGATTGTTCTTTTCATTGCAGGAATGATTATCGGTGCGTATTTCTGGGGTTGTTTCGCAGACTTAGCGGGAAGGAGAAAGGCTCTCCTGACATCCACTGTTTCGTACGCTCTCTGCGAAATTGTGTCATCTGTAGTATCGAACTACTGGGGATTTCTCCTTCTCAAATTTTTCAGTGGATTTTCGTAAGTTTCATTATCTTATCGCGATCGTTGGAATCGATACAATTGGTTTTTTAAGTTGAAGTGTTTTACACAAACAACGATGGGGTTAACCGGAGATAGGACCCAAAAACTGACTAAACTTTCAGTTTTTTGGAAATATCTCCGGTTCTAATTCTCCTATCCCATTTTTCTCTCCCGGAGATTGAAGTTGAGCTCATTCCCCACAACTTTTGTCTTGGAAATCCTGTGGTGAGGGAGGTCCTATGGACGTTGGGGACCAATGGGCCCCGTTTGTGAATTCGAATGGGGTCACTTAACATAAAGAAACGATCCCCGCCGGTTTTGGGGGTGAAAAATTTTTTCATCGAAAAAAATGGAAAGGGGTTAACCTATCTCCATCAATTTCCGTCAAAAATGAATTTGACCACAACAAAAGTTTGTGGGGAATGAACTCAGCTTCAATCTCCACGAGAGAAAAATGAGATAGGACAATTAGAACCGGAGATAGGACCCAAAAACTGACTAAACTTTCAGTTTTTTGGAAATATCTCCGGTTCTAATTTTCCTATCCCACTTTTCTCTCCCGGAGATTGAAGTTGAGGTCATTCCCCACAACTTTTGTCTTGGTCAAATTGATTTTTGACGAAAATTGACGGAGATATGGCCAAAAAACCAAAATTTCCCAAATTCAATCAGAAATCCTGTGGTGAGGGGGGTCCTATGGACGTTGGGGACCAATGGGCCCCGTTTGTGAATTCGATTGGGGTCACTTAACATAAAGAAACGATCCCCGCATATCACGATCCCCAACAGACAAAACACCCTAAGAAAATTTAATTAATTAATTTCAATTCAAGCTAATTGAGGCCGAAGTTCTTAACATTCAAATTTCTAACGCGTCGTTCATAATATTCCTAAATAAAAGGGTTCATTTAATTAATAAATTGTTTATTGGCGAAATTTGGGGCGATAAAATAATAAAATAATCACGATCACTAAAAAGTCGCGTCTGTCGAATATAATGTAAGGTAAAAGAATAACTAAATAGAAAGAGACAATCGTATATGAATTTGGCTGAGAAGGAGGAAAAGAACAAATACGCAACAATATGTATATATATATGACCGTATTATGGCAGAATAATCGATTAGCAATAAATTAAAACAATTTTTAAAGGTCTCATTTTGAGACCTTTGAAGTCTTAAAATAAAGTATTATTTCTTTGGGTGCATGCATAATGCTTGAACCTAGTGAGGGGCTGCTGACTACATTCGCATTTGCATTTTTCATTTTCTGGTAGAATAAGCGGCCACAGTACAGTGGTTTTCACCTATCTCGGTGAATTTCAATCCGGAAAAATAAGGGAGAGAATGCTCTGCTGGATGGAGATGGCTTGGTCACTTGGATTGATAGCTTTACCTCGTGAGTTACTTTGTATTATTTTCCTCATAGCTCAGTGACACTTTGACGTTAATAAGGACATTAATCATAAATCCTTCTTGCAGTAACGGGATGGGCGATAATTCCTATTCACATATCTATTGTTAACGATGTTTTTTTCTTCCGGTCTTGGAATCTTTTTGTGATAGTATGTGCACTGCCATCAGTGTTCATTGGATTCTGGCTATTATCATTCCCGGAAAGTCCGAAGTATCTTGCTGAATCCGGCAATAACTATAAACTTACGGAAACTCTTCGTATGATGCATGTGGAAAATACTGGGAAACCATTCGAGGATTATCTGGTAATTTTGTGTTATCAATTTATTAATCATGCTAATTACTCAATATCTGAAAAATATAGTGAAGGGCGACGGCGTTGAGATTTGAAATTCTGATGCACGGAGAGAAATTTTTTAGAAAAATTTTAGTGCTAGCACGAGAAAAAGGGCGCGAAGTGACGGCCGGTAAAAAATTCCAGTGCCTGCACTAGAAATTTTATTGGAGAAAACGTAAATTTTTCCCCGTATTTCTGTGAAATTTCCACAGACACCCCCAGAAATTTTATCTTAACAGCACTAGAATTTTTTACAGCCGGTGGATTGTATTTTTTTCCGGTTCTCGTACTAGAATTTTTCTAGAAAATTACTCTCCGTGTGAAATATGATAAAAAGCGGGAATACACTGATGAAAAAGTTTAGTAGAAAAACTTAGCGAATTCGCTAGACAATTCTATCGAACTTTCTATTAGTTTTTGGCCGATTCTATTGAAATGTTCAATAGAAAATATTCTATAGAAAAAGTCAAAAGAATTCGATTTTTCTATACAACTGATTCTATCGAGATATTTTCTAAAGAATTTCCTGGGTTTTTTTGTTTGATTTTCTTGATGAGAAGAAAAGAAAAAGGGAAAAATGGCTTCATTTACTGGACTATTAGTAGCTGAGGAGTACTAGGCACCTTCCATTCATCAGTAAAAAAAATGTTGAAAACGGAATTGATTGATAACGATTGCCTTCATCGTAGATTGATTCTCAATTTTAATGTCTTGGATATTTAGGAAACGCTATCTAAAAATGGATATGAACAGCTCAGTCTGAAACTTCGAAATTATCAAGAGGAAACAGCGCCCAAGTCTTCGGGAATACAAGTGAATAGAGCCCGTCAATTATTGAGAAATATTTATCAACAAACACTGACGCTTATGAAACCCCCATTGCTCCGAAAAACCGCGAATGTATGCAGCATCATGTTCTGCTTGGGGTCATCATATTACGCTCTCATGCTGTGGTTTCCAGAGCTTTTCCAGAGGTTCGCGAGGTTTGAGAATGAGTCTCCTGCCGATTCCGCAAGTGTCTGCAGTGTTTCTGAGCAGAGATTCTCAAAAGATGAAATGGTAATGGAATTCATGCCTTATCAATAACGATACCGGCACTACCATCATTTCCAGAGACAGGTCATCAATGAACGCAGCATTATCAGAAAATTCATGAAAGACGCGTTATTTTTACGAATAAAACTAGTCGGAAAACTTGAAAAACAATTTTTCTTCAAAAATTCGATAATTTTTATTTCAGGTTTTATCTCGTTTTGATTTACGGATTTACGGATTTACGTTTTGATTTACGTTCATGCAATCGATGAGTTTTTTTATAAACAGGGAAAAAACTAATTAATCGGGAAGTTATGGGTTTCACCTGTCATACACGGAGAGAAATATTAATTAAAAATTCCGTATCTTTTCCGTAATTCCGGAGCGAAATGTGGTTGTAGGAAATTTTACGGAACTGTCACGGAATTTTTCCGGAGCGTTCCGTAATTTTTATCTGAATCTCTCGTGAAAAATTACGATACCGTCACTTAAATTTTCTGACTCGATTCCGTAATCGGTAAGTGAAGTGAGAATTCCGTAATTTTTACTGAGCATTTCTCTCCGTGTATGAAATATACTTGATTCAAGTATATTTTTTTCCGTGAAGATTAGAAATTTTGTAATGAAAGTCTCATAAAAATTCTGATGCTGCTTCTACGTCACCGAATCACTTAATGTATATTTTTTAGAGCGATGACTGTCCCACAACAGTTCCTAGAAACGTTTATGTTCACACATTAATTCTTGGCATCGCGTGTGTCCCTCTGAGTGTACTGCTTCCTCTATGCGTTGATAAATTGGGATATAAATTTTATTTAGGTAAAATCTACCTTCATTCTGCAGTCAGTCACATGACATTCTTTGGTTCTCATTCCCATAAATTTGCAGTGGTTTCGACACTCGTTGCAGCAAGCGTAACACTAGGATTGTTGTTCGTGAAATCGTCTATTGAGAATCTCATCCTCTCCTGTATTTTTGAAGCCGCTTCGTCTATCGGTATGAGCATTGTCCTTGCTATCATCGTAGATTTATTCCCAACAAATTTAAGGTATGCTCCTTCTGAACGTACGTGGTTCCTTCCCACGGATGATGGGAATAATTTGCATTATTCTTGTGTTCCAGAGCAATTGCCGCTGCTTTATGTGCCTTCTGCGGTAGACTCGGGGCGTTAGTCGGCAATTACATGTTCGGATACCTCATCGATACCCATTGTCTCATTCTCATTATTATCGTAGCTGTGAAGCTATTAGGTAAGTTTACAGAAACACGAATCTCTTCCTGTATGAAAAATAACAATTATTTCTCTAATACTGACAATATCTCTTCAAGTCTCTAGTCTTCTTGGATATTTGCTGCCCATTCGACGACACCCTGAGACAACCGTTGTTTCTCCAAAAGTTATAACTTGAATTAAGATGATTGCTGAATTTCGTCCAGACTGCTGAATGGTTGTGACAATAAGAGAATTGACAACCGAGTGGGATCTAGAATTCAAAGGAGTACCTGATGCACCTAAAAGTATTGAGTTCGATGGGAGGCGCAACATCGCAAGATAATTGGCTCATGTAAATAGTATATTTGCCATCGAGTGTATTAAAAATATAGAAAAAATTGTCCGTTAGTGTATGTATCATATAAATTACACGTGATTCAGAAATGAGAGGTACACATTTCCATTTATTCATTAAGGGACTCCTCCTTCCTCTAGGAAATGTCTCAATAGAAAAAGTTGTATAGAAATATGAAATTCTACTGAATTTATCTACAGAATAGTTTCTATTGAACATTTTTTAGAGAAAAAAACGTGCAGTAAAACTGCGGAATTCTGCCTGAAATGCGTCAAAAACATAGAATTTTCAGTAGAAGTTTAACAGAATTGAATTCATCGGGTTGTTCATGCGTGTCCATTTCAACTCCAGCTCTTTTCGTAGCAAAAAACACCTATTTTTACATGCAGAATTTCTCCAGATCATCGCTCTGTCGTCTGCATCATAATCCATGAATTATTGGCCGTCTCTGAATTCTTGTATGACTATCTGGTACACGAATACTGCATTGCCGATCTTAAAATCAAATATCACTCATGAAAATGCGCTCAGATAAACAATACATTCATCAGATTCCGTAGATCGAAATTACCGAAATCAACAGAGAACTATTCAATCCAAACAGTCCGAAAGCTGTAAAACTGACATTCTCGTGTAGCATTTCGAGGGCATAATTCCTGAGCTAAACAATTTACTACGTCAGTTCCAACAAATATTTGACTCGCAATGTTCTAAAACTCACCGAAGTTCTTTGTCGCTCCTTCAGCAAGTGTCTCGAAAGGATTTGTGAAACGACCTTCTTCGTCCTGTTAATCTGAAAGTTATGTGGAAAATTATTCCCTTCAATTTTACAGATTCCTCTCGAAATGGAGGAAAAGCCTTGGTGAAAATATGAAGGGGTTTCGGTTTCAGGATAAACCACTCTATACTCTTTAACAAAAACATTGAAAATAATTGAGTTCCTTCGTGAGTCTCACAAGCTGCCCTGTAGACACTTCTGCCTCAAGAATACAGTTGTCTCTTCATGTAAGATACCTCAGAAAGTAGAAAAGCGGAAATCAGTTCAGGAGCGAAGCGGTAAACCGGGTTAAGTCGATTTTAACTGTTGGCCAGTTTTTGACGAATATCTCGGAATCTAAAAGAGATACAAACATTTATGTCAGAACCTTTTTTGTAGATCCAACTGAGGGTTACAAAAAAGGTCATGAGCAAAATTTTTCTATCTCTCTTAGATTCCGAGATATTCGTCAAAAAATGGCCAAGAGGAAAAATCGACTTAACCCGGTTTACCGCTTCGCTACTGAGTTATTTTATCTATAAAGGGAAAGGCATTTTAGACGCTTTCGTTTACTGGTAAACGAAAAGTCTTTTCGTCTACTTATAAACAAAAAAGGCACAGTTCGGTCACTCGCTAAACGTAGCGTCGCCGTCAAAATAGTATATTACATGCTTGTCCCGTTAAAAAACATCGTGGCCACAGGTGTCTTATAAGAAGCACACGAAGTCGAACGTTCGGTACTCGAGGAAGGTGCCTGTCGAGAATTCTCAACCATTCGGAGTTCAAAATAAATAAAGTAGAGCTTATGGAGAGAGTCTCCATGTTCAAGTTTCACCGAGGCTGCTAAAAATACTTCACAAACTTCTGAAGTGATCCATTCGACGATCAAACATAACGGCAAAATTGAGTACGTATTGAGTAGTAATCCGAAGCCTCTTTCAACGACATATGTGGTAGCAATACCATCCCTTTGCTGATTAAGTATATACGGAATTAGAAATGCTTGAATGTTGTTCATCATGAAGATGAAGTACCAGAAAACTGCCGCTAGAACTACTGGCGAAAAGAACAACTCAATCGAGATAATCATTCTAACGAAGATTCTCCTGGCTTCGAGAGCTTTATCTATACTTCGTAGAATATATGAATCATTTGATGAATATTTCACCAAAGCCTGCCCCAGAACCAGTAAATTCTCGTTCAAGTAGTTCATCTCATCTTTCAGATAACTCAGTATTGTAAAGTATTGGATCAGCACAAAGCTGTTAATAATGTCGCTCACAATGTGAGTAGCCAGACGAGTTGTTGGCCCAGTTATTAGCGCAGAAATAGCAAAACCTGCTTGAAACAGTACTCCAATTAACATTCTCAGTAGAATTCCCGTTTTCGCGTCGTGATTAGACACTGAGTTAACGAAGCTCGGATTAGAATGAGATATTCCAAGGATGAGCATTTGCAGCTGAGATTTTTTTAGAGTGATTTCATTCCATAACTTCATGATTGCGAACAAATCTTTCCGGTTGCAATAGACGATGATGATGGATGCCGCCGCTAGATTATTACAGATGGTGACGACACAAACTGCAATGAGTTTGTCACTGCTCCACTTGCTCAGAGGATAATTTCTGATCTCATTTATTAAGTACAGACTGTTCACAGATATTAGGAGAGTTGCTAAGATTATGTGATAAGCAGATCTTCTCCGGGAAAACGATAATTGAAGCGTAGATGTACGTATGGAAGGCGAAGATGTTGATGTAGAAGATGTTGAAATACTTCGAATAGTGAATGCACAGGGAGAAAGTCCGTACAGCGACGAAATAATTTTAAAGGTCTTGATAATCATTTGGTTTATATTCCAGGTCGATTTGGGGTTGATGGACTGAGGGATTTCCATAGCTACACGATGTTTTGGATGCTGTTGGGATTCACTTCACGACTGAAGGGAACAGTTGGCAACAACAGGAAGAGCCCTAGTTAAGTGAGTGACAATTGATTCTGAAAAAAAGATGTGGGCGCCAACCTCATTCGCCGCATAATTTATTCTTTTATCGTCCGTAAGTATAGACCTAGCGAAATTTCCAGGAAAATTGGAAAATTGATTTGAACTTGACGAGATGGGGATAATAGCGATTTTTCCTGAAATTTGTCCTTCGCTTATGCAATTGTTTACGTCAAATTATGCAAATTGTTTTTTTCCAGAAAATTCATGTCACTTTTTGCTTTTTTTAGAAGATTTACGTCAAGGAATTTCTGTAAACTATCAAAATCAAATTCTGTTGTTTTTATCTATGGAATAGTTTCTATTGAAAAAATGTAGAGTAAAACTGCGAGGTTTTTCAACAAAATCGGCGGAAATCTAATTAAATTTTCAATAAATGTTCAATAAAAATGAAAAAAAATGAAAGCCAATTCACTGAGTTTTACGATGCAGTGCAAAAGACTCACCAGCATGAAGATCCTGAAGCTTGTTCTCCTCCACAGTTTTCCCTCCGACGACTCCCCAGTACTGACGCTGCCTTACCCTCACCTACACCAGATCGATATTCTCACATACCCCACCTCTTCCCTCAAATCATCCCTGGATTTTCGTCACGAATACCCTACCCCGTCAATTGAGGTAATAGCAGGAAGAGAACCGAAAGATGACAGGCCACAAATTCTTTCCTTTCATTGACTTCTTACACTAGCCAAATTACAAAGCCACCACTTCCTTAGAAGAATAGCAAAGCCATCCCTCGTGATGAAAGACTCGAGTTTCCCGGAAAAAACAAATTGTTGTGAACCAACAGCTTGCGATAATGTCAGTTCTCTAAAAATATCCCCTCCACCTCACTCTCCTATTTCTCAACACCACGTCAGCTGCTTTTGACTCTGGCCTTCAGTTTGGCTGACAATAAAGTCGTCATCATCACCGGAAAGATGTGGAACATGACTCTCCATCGAAGACAAATCAGTAGAATGGTTAAACTATTCGACCTCGAGCCCTTCAAGCCCCTGAATGATGATGAAGTGGCAATCAAGTGGAAATTCCGTCGTTCGATCAAGTAAGTTGGGTTTTCATCTCATTGAAAATTGTGTATATTCAGATTGATTGGGGATTTCGATGTGCGCTTGAAGGTTTAAATAATTTTTTTTGTTGTATTTGTCCTGAACCACTCGTCTCAAGAAAGTTCGTGAACTTCCCAAAACTTCAAGCCATCAATACAACAAGAAATGAACAGCGCTACACACCGAGAAATATTCAATAAAAATTACGTATCTTTCCCGTAATTCCGCAGCGAAAAGTGGTTGTAGGAAATTTTACGGAACTGTCACGGAATTTTTCTAGAGCGTTCTGTAATTTTTATCTGAATCTCCTGTGGAAAATTACGATACCGTCACTTAAATTTTCTGAGTCGATTCCGTAATCGGTGAGCGAACTTCGAGTCCCGTAATTTTTACTGAACATTTCTCTCCGTGCAACGAAATTTGTTGTTATGAAACCCTTATTCATGAACTAAAACAGATGATTAACTTCATGTACTTGCTACATAATTTACGCTGGACTGATACTCTATCTTTTTGTAACATGAGATCCATCCGAATTGATGAAATAAATACTTTCTTGATTATCGAATTAGTTTAGTAATGAGTGATGTTACAAGATATCGGCGGGAAAGCCTCCTGCTACCATCGTCGATGGCCGAGTGGACGAAACGTAAAGTTAGTTTGCGAAAGGTTTAGCCGTACAGAGTGTCACCGCACGAATGAAGGTAATAAAGTAGGATTAACCGTACATTAAACTTGGACTATCTCAGAATCTATATTATATTTACTAGGGGACTTCGTCGTCTCCTCGTTTCTCCCCCTCTCTCTCTCTCTCTCTCTCTCTCTCTCTCTCCTCTCTCTCCCGTCTCCTTCCGTATGATTGAATGATCATATACTGATAGATAGCCAGCAAAACAATAAAGTTTCGAGTAACGAACCCGGTATATATGAGACCGCGCGTGGTTGTGATTGGTTCGTAGAGTGAAGTGGGGATACCTTACTGACGAGACGCCATTGGTGTACTTCCGAGTAATGGGAGAACCCGCTACGCGACATCTATAAAAACACGACCATTTAGCGGAAAAAGTATCACAAGCTTTTGCCAGTTTATTTAGTATTGACGTGTTCGTTAAACTAAAGTTAAAATGACTGGTCGCGGCAAGGGAGGAAAGGGATTGGGAAAAGGAGGAGCCAAGCGCCATCGTAAAGTACTTCGTGATAACATCCAGGGAATCACCAAGCCAGCTATCCGTCGTCTCGCTCGTCGTGGTGGTGTCAAACGTATCTCCGGTCTGATCTATGAAGAGACTCGTGGTGTTCTCAAGGTCTTCCTTGAGAACGTCATCCGTGACGCAGTCACCTACACCGAACACGCCAAGAGGAAGACCGTTACGGCTATGGATGTGGTCTACGCACTGAAACGTCAAGGACGTACTCTCTACGGATTTGGAGGTTAAACTCGGCGTTACGGAGCATGAAAAAACAATCGGCCCTTTTCAGGGCCATCATGTGTTTATAACGTGGATATGATATTTTTGCTTCAATTTCTAGGACATTTATCATTATTAAAATCATTAAATAATTCATATGGGCTATTATAATGGATTGCCTGATCCCACTGAAAAGCCTAAACAAAAATTACAATTGCCGTAAATTAGAATTATGAACGTAATTTATATTCAGGTCATTCTGAGTGATATTTTGTGTTCCGGCCGTTACATTTTTTTAACAATCGAATCTCAAATGCCAAAAATTAGAGGATGACTCAGGTCACTGTACTAATATTGAAACTGGTGGTACATTTTTGATAACAGCAAAGCATGAAAGCTTATAAAAATTATAGTTTTCGCAGAATAAGAACACATTTAAGTTATTCTTTAACCGTGTATTGTCTGTACTCATGAACTAACCTTACAAATAGGGTCGCTTCTATTAAAAAGCATTCGATATAGAAAATACACTTGATTCGTGATAGGCAATGGAGAAGAGAATACTTCTTATATCCATGAAGAGCAGTATTATTTCTGTTATTTTAAGAATAAAATGTATATTACAATTGCTATGTTATATTATAAGAAATATAACATGAGTGTGAGTTGAACGTGATTTATACGGCAATGTAGTCCTGAAGATCACGTGACGTTTTATGCTGCAGTTGCTACGATCGATGACATGGCAAATATGTAGTAAAAAAAGTTGTGCATTGCACATGCTCATTACTTGTTTTCAATAATTAGAATTTCGTCGGATATTTCTTTTGTCATATGCTTCCTGATAATAATGGAGTGGGTTTGGTATGTCGTTTATTCGAAGGCTTATGGTTTTTGAGGTTATGTTCGTGGGTACGGGAATGCAAGTGTAGGGAATATCTTGGATATATTCATTGATTAATGTGTTTATTACGCGAGAATGTTCAATTCAGTGCCATTGGATTTTTTTAATTATTACTAAACTATAACATAATATTCGTTGATTCAATTGAGTTGTGTAAATGTTTCAATATTTGAGTTTGTAATTTTATGTATTCAATTTTTGATTCTACAATTTTTTTTGACTATCAAAAAAATTTGAAATCTGAATTGCACTAGTGTAAAACGGGTAATTGGATCTAATTATTCACGTTCGTTGTTTTTCATTTCAGAGAAATTCAATGATTATTTTGATAATCACTATTATTACTGCATAATAAACTACGATACAACGAAAATTTCATTTCTACGTGATGAATATGTGGTGGCCCTGAAAAGGGCCGATTGTTTATTTCGTAGAGTTAAGCTTAACCTCCAAATCCGTAGAGAGTACGTCCTTGACGTTTCAGTGCGTAGACCACATCCATAGCCGTAACGGTCTTCCTCTTGGCGTGTTCGGTGTAGGTGACTGCATCGCGGATGACGTTCTCAAGGAATACCTTGAGAACACCGCGAGTCTCCTCGTAAATCAAACCGGAGATACGTTTCACACCACCTCTACGAGCGAGACGACGGATAGCTGGCTTGGTGATTCCCTGGATGTTATCACGAAGTACCTTGCGATGGCGCTTGGCTCCTCCTTTTCCCAATCCTTTTCCTCCCTTTCCGCGACCAGTCATTTTAACTTCAGTTCAGAAAACACGTCAAGACTGAATAAGCCAGCAAAAGCTTGTGATGCATTTTCGCCAAACGGTCGTGGTTTTATAGATGTCGCGTAGCGCGTCTCGCACCTCTCGGAAGTACACCAATGGCGTTGCGTCAATAAGGTATCCCCACTTCACTCTACCAACCAATCACAACTACGCGCAGTGTTATATATACCGGGTTCGTAACTCCAAACTTCACTGTTTTGCTGCCACTTTTGAAAGCAATTCTCTGACGCAATGGCTCGTACCAAGCAGACTGCCCGTAAATCCACCGGAGGAAAGGCTCCCAGGAAGCAATTAGCCACCAAGGCCGCTCGCAAGAGTGCGCCAGCAACTGGAGGAGTCAAGAAACCCCATCGCTACAGGCCAGGAACCGTAGCTCTTCGTGAGATCCGTCGTTACCAGAAAAGCACTGAGCTCCTCATCCGTAAACTCCCATTCCAACGACTTGTTCGTGAGATCGCCCAGGACTTCAAGACTGACTTGAGGTTCCAGAGTTCAGCTGTAATGGCTCTTCAAGAAGCCAGCGAGGCTTACCTCGTTGGTCTCTTCGAAGACACCAACCTCTGCGCCATCCACGCCAAGAGAGTGACCATCATGCCCAAGGACATTCAGCTGGCTCGTCGTATTCGCGGAGAGAGAGCTTAAGTTGTTTCAACTTAAACTAAAAATAATCGGCCCTTTTCAGGGCCACAAACTAATTTGAACTAGTAAAACAAAATCGCTACATCATTATCTAAATTTCAGAGAGATCTAACGTACATCTCAGTAATAAATTAAATGACAGTATTGATCAGCGATTGGGTAGTGATTGATATTTGATATTGATATTTACACAAATGTAGCCGCACTGGGTAAAATTGATCATTTTCAGATATAAAGGGAATTTCGTAGTAATATCCAATATACCATTAGTCATCCAACCATGAACCTTTAAAAAACGGGATCCAGTTGTGGAATCGTATTATTTTCCATAACTGAGAATTATTGTCGAATGGATATTTGTCACTTCGAAACGAGTATATAGCCCAAGTTTCTAATTACACGGTAGTTTCCATGTCACATGGACTTTGGCTTAAATGTAACACCGATGCCATATTAACTGACGACAATGAATTAGAGAAAGAATTGTTCAAAGTTAAAAAATGCGAATCAATTAGAATCCCGTGTTTAACCTCTAGAAATCTCATTCAGTTCGAAAGCTAGAACAGTTTATAACTCAATCTGTAGGGCTGGAAACCCAAAAATTCGAAATCAGCGACCCCGAAAACGTAAACTCACCCAAGTTTTTATAGGACACCGTAACAGAAAGTGCATGAGGGTAAGGATTAAATTTTTTAGAGTTAATTCAATGACGGAATATTAGAATATCGTATTTAAAGCTTAAAAGATTAACCAACGTATTAAAAATGTTGTGGCCCTGAAAAGGGCCGATTTTTGTTTGAGCGATTTAAGAGCTGCTCTTCTCGGTCTTCTTGGGAAGGAGAACAGCCTGGATGTTGGGGAGAACACCACCCTGAGCGATGGTGACTCCAGACAACAGCTTGTTCAACTCCTCGTCGTTACGGATTGCCAATTGGAGATGTCTAGGGATGATCCTAGTCTTCTTGTTGTCACGAGCGGCGTTGCCTGCCAACTCGAGGACCTCAGCAGCCAAGTACTCCATAACTGCAGCGAGGTAAACTGGAGCTCCAGCACCGACACGCTCTGCGTAATTTCCTTTGCGCAGGAGACGATGAATACGACCAACTGGGAACTGAAGGCCAGCCCTGGTAGAGCGAGTCTTTGACTTGCCCTTGACTTTTCCACCTTTGCCGCGACCAGACATGATGATAGAATGAAAATTTAACGTTTACTAAAAGCAGTTCTCCGGTAGAGAACTGAGGTTTTAATATTTTTTCCAGACGCTCTCCACCATTTATATAGCCTCAGACGCATGGACTGCCGAGTCAATGCGCGCGCATCACCGCAACTGAGCGTAGCTGATTGGTTCGGCGCTGTCGACGCGGACTGTATTAAAAACAACGGCTTTCCCTGCGAAATCACATTTCACCTCTGTTCCTCAGTCAGTGAAGAGTACAATTTTACGACGATGCCACCCAAGGCTAGCGGCAAAGCTGTGAAGAAGGCTGGAAAGGCCCAGAAGAACATCACTAAAACCGACAAGAAGAAGAAGCGCAAGAGGAAGGAGAGCTACGCTATCTACATCTACAAGGTCTTGAAGCAAGTTCACCCTGACACTGGAGTCTCCAGCAAGGCCATGAGCATCATGAATTCGTTCGTTAATGATATTTTCGAACGTATTGCTGCTGAAGCGTCCAGACTGGCTCACTACAACAAGCGCTCCACCATCACTTCTCGGGAAATTCAGACTGCTGTTCGTCTACTTCTCCCCGGAGAGTTGGCCAAGCACGCTGTTTCAGAAGGCACCAAAGCCGTTACCAAATATACCAGCTCGAAGTAATTTGGTTAACATTTAACAAAACAAAATCGGCCCTTTTCAGGGCCACCAGATTATTCAAACGTAACTCTCATGATCGCCAAAACAATATAATAGAATAATGTAATATGATATTGATAACGTTAGATTTGATCACCGTTCATTTTGACTTCGATTGAATAATTCTAAAATCATTATCATTCAATAACAATTCTATTGAATGTCGAAAGTAACGGTCAATGCAGTTGACTTAGTGATGATTAGTAATGACTTAGTAACAGAAATCAGTAATAAGTAATGAATTTAGAAAATAGTAGAATTCTGAATTAGTAGTGTTAAGTTTCGGTGCTTAATAAATCTCATTGAGCTAAAAACTTTGCATCTGTACTCATGATTCGGAGTGTGTGTTCATCAAGCTGACGAGCACTAAACAACTGTAAATATGCACATCAAAGCAGCGGTCCCTAGTCTATACCCCAGGGGTCAAAAGATGTCCACTAAAACGTCTACGGGTCGACTTTGGATTTCTCAATGCACATAACGCGGCGCGTGTTCGCAACGCAGGTAAAAAATTGTCTCCATTCTCGTTTGGGCTATTAAGATGATTGCTCGATAAAAACAAGTCTTTTTTATGCAGACTTTTTTGTTGTCGGGCTTACAGTTCCAGGGTGATCGGCATTCAAACAATTCAATTGTTTCTAACGTTTGAATGCATGAATTTGATGAAATCAATGAACAAATGCGGATTCTCCGACTCAAAAAACATGGAAAAAAGAAAAGTAGACCGAGTAGATCTTTCAGTGGATACCTTTCGACGTTTTAGTGATCATAATAGCATTGAAGGAATATTTTGGATTTAGTTTGGTTAGCGATAGTGAATTTGTACGTTCAGAAATAATTATTGGCCCTGAAAAGGGCCGTTTGGTTATGATCATGGTTGAACTGAATTGGTATGTTCAATTCACTTCTTCTGGGCTGGTTTCTTAGCCGCTGCTTTGGCTTTTGGAGAAGCAGCAGCTTTCTTCGGTTTGGGTGCCTTGGGTTTAGCAGTTGGTCCTTTTGTAGCTTTCTTCGCCTTGGGGCTTTTCGGCTTGGTTGCAGCTTTCGCCACCTTCGGCTTGACGGCCTTCTTCTCAGCAGCTGGTTTCTTCGCTGCAGCTTTCTTAGGAGAAGCTGTTTTCTTGGCTTTCGGCTTTGCTGCTTCGGTCTTCTTAGCTGCCTTCTTGACAGCAGCTTTCTTCGGTGATGCTTCCTTCTTGGCAGCCGCCGGTTTAGCTTTTGGCTTCGAAGCGTCGGTCTTCTTCACTGCGAGCTTGAACGATCCAGACGCACCATTTCCTTTAGTTTGCACAAGAGTTCCAGCAGCAACTGCGGACTTCAGGTACTTCTTGATGAAGAGTGCGTGCTTTGTGGTGTCGAGCTTGTAATTGGCAGCGATGTACTTCTTGATAGCCTGGAGAGATGATCCGTTACGCTCGGCAAGGGTCTTTACAGCGGTATTGACCATGTCAGCGGTGCTGGGATGAGTTGGTTTAGGCTTTGGATTTTTCGCCTTTGTTGCTTTCTTAGCAACCTCTGCCTTTGCGGGAGCAGGAGAACCCGTTGCCGAAGCAACTACTAGTGATGCAACTTTATCAGCCATCTTCACTTCACGTCGTCAGTGCAAAATTTTTTAGTTAACAGGATTGTTTTGATGTGCGCCAGCTTCTCGAGGAAGTAACTAGGCATTTGAGCGCGGACCGTGGAGACAGGCCCGACGACTCTGACACCACAACTTCGCCGTCACAATGCTGCAAATGGTGTCTCGTTCTTGATACTTCAATTTTTTTAGGGTTGTTTCAACAACAATAGCACTTTCGTCAGCGTTACATCGTCTTTACAAATGTCTAATTAAACTATAAAATTTTAGTTTCAATTCGTAGTATTAGAGGATGATGAACAATTGCTCGGAATGTTGCTCTCGTACTTTCGGTGTTTCGGGTGCTGCTGCATTTAAACATTCGTGTAATAAACAATCCGCATAATTTCGTCATTCCACTGTCTCGATTACATGCTATGATGATTAACAAATGCAGGGAATGCGGAGGTTTCCATGAAAAATGATAATTGATGCGGAATTTTGACAAGTTAATGTGTCGAGTCCGACCAGAACCCAAATGCGCGTCTCGGGGGTTACTGCGTATAATATGAAGTCGAGAAATATCTAGGAGTAAAAAACAATTTTGACAATTACCCCATTTTTTAGTATAATGCCCTTTCTAGCGAGTATGGAACTTAATTTTACAACCGATTTCCGTTATTTCGTGGGAAGCCCGAATGTGACAGAATGAATGCTACGTACGCATGAATGCTACGTACGTAGAGCATACGTTTAATTAGGTAATTTTATTGTTGTTATATACATGTCACAATAATTGTTTTTCGATAATGTTGTAGGCTTTTCATAAGTTTTAACACGATTTCATGGATTTTTCTTAGATCAACGTAAATAAATTCATAGCGGAGTAGAGTTTGTTACGCGTCTATCGGAATCATCGCTGAAGCTAGGTATTGGGGACGGATTTTGTATTCTCTTTGGTCAAAATAACGACGATTCGTTCATTAACTTTCCACCAAAAGGGGAAATTACTGTAACGATCTCGATAATCAAATGTCAAATGTTCATAATTTCTAGAATGATGATGGGATTTGAACTGCCAAAGAATGTCTGAAAACGAAGGTACTTCATTGTGTGCAATTAATTATTTTGTCAAGGAAATGTCTCGATGTTAAAATATGCCACACGCGTACAGAAGAATAATTTAGCGCTTTTAAACAAATTGTATTATAATTTCATTGGAAAATTCTATTTTATCTGTGCTGCTTCTTACGGAAAATTATGCAACATTGCTTTGAAATTTTTTTAAAGCGAAAGTCAATAAATTTTCATTTTTCTGTGCTAATTACTCTCCCGAAATTTTTTCTTGGGAAATTCTTCAACATAACTTTCAGAAAATTCTATAATTGGACTTGTATTGAACTTCCACTGAAATTCTATTAATTTTTGGCTGATTCTATCCACGAATTCCAGTTGAAAATATTCCAAACGAATAAGTTGTACAGAAAAACAAAATTCTATTGATTTTGACTAAAAATTGATGAAAAAACGCGGAAATAAGTTGCGGATTTTTTTAATAGAATCGGCAAAAAACTACTAGAATTCCGAAAGAATTTCGTTAAGAATTTTTTAATTAAATTTTCTCCTACAGTTGTTCCGTGCAATTTCCTTCTGTTCCTCAATACACAAATGAATAAAAAAAACATCGCCACGTGAGGGCAATAGCGTCGGCGATGTAACGCCAGCCCCTGAGAGAAGTAGAAATCTTCCATGATCTGGAGGTTAAAACTCCAGTAACAACAAAAGACGAGTGAGAACGCAATCAAGCACTGATAATAAAAAAATAACGAAAATAGCGCGAGTTTACCTATAAAAATGCCAACTAAGCATTGCGCCTATGCCTCGTGTAATTCGGATACGCGTTATCCTGAGGACAAAGTATTCTTCATACCATTTCCAAAGCCTTACAAAGATTTAGAGAAATGTAAACGATGGTTGGAAAAATGCAATCGCTCGAATTTGGCGTTAGATAAAATAACGAAAAGTACGTATATATGCTGTAAACACTTCGTGGGTAGATGCGGCCCAACCAGTGAGCATCCCGACCCAATTCAGTGCACAGAATCCAAGGTATGCACAACTATTGTCCCCCTGGCAGATCGATTGATAGCTACTCGAACACGATTCAATAGGAGTTTAAGGATGTTCGACACCCTTTTAGCCGAAATTGACGTTGTTTTCATTTTTCTGGCAAATTATCGATGGGAGTGACGTGAAACAATATAACGATTTTGTGGTTTGTCATTCTTTAATGGCTCACGAAGTTGCGTAGTGGTGCGATAATTTTCATGCGTTTTTTCTACAGTTTTGTGATTCTTTTTAAAAGTTTAGAGAAAACGCAGGAAAATGTTCGCACCACCTTAAAATTTCGTCAGTCATTAAATAATGACAAAACGCAAAAACGTTATATTTTTTCACGTCAATTCCATCATAAGTTTGCCAGAAAAATTTAAAAAACGTGAATTTTGGCAGAAAGGGTGTAGAACATCCTTAATCAGCTCAGATATTAATAACCCGAGCCCTCAGCTCCTCAGATCTTAATAACGCGTTAACCGAAACCCACGATAAACTGTCGTGTATCTTAGTTAATAGTTAATAGTGAATAAATAAGCAGATTTTACCTATTGAATGTACGCGAGGGTTTTACCATTGAAACACCTCCCCAAAGCTTCCACATAGTATTCCAGAGCGAGCGAGCCCGCGTGAGTGTGGCCGTGAAAGTTAGCCGGACATTTAGGGCGTTAAGACGGCCCTAGGAAAAGGTATCGCATTTCCATTGGCAATGGTCCCAGGGACTATTCACTCAAGTTAGATCGTTCGGGATTAATGCAAAGGACGATCTCCGATTCCGGAATATTATATACCCGATTCGAGAATATTTTTTTTCCGCGTATATTTCCAATTGATGATGAATTAAATATTTAGCAATATGGAACTATTAATTTTCTATTAAGTAAATAACTCAATTTCTTATAAGGGATTTTCGATTATCCAAATAATAAATCAATCAATTGATGAATCGTCAATTTTTCTAACTAAATTACTGATTAGTAAAGAATTCCGAATTTGAATATTTAAATTGATGATTACTTCAATAATTAAAATTTGAGAATAATATTAACGAATTGACTACTTAATAATTTAACGGTAATTATAATTTATGGATATGGCTAGCCCTGATCTTCAAATTTCTCAGTTAAATTGCGTGAGAAAAATTTTAAAAAACTGGTAAATATTCAGCGTTACTCAAACTACAGTTTGCACAGAATCATTATTTTTTTAAAGTCATTGTTCATGAATAAATAATTGGAATTGCTTAAACTTTCGGAACCTTTATTTTTTTCTAGGCATGAAATCGATTTCTGGTAAAATTCTGAATATGAATAAATTTGTTACGAAAATTGATTGTATATAAATTATTTATAGAAAAAAAACTTTAAAAAAAGTAAACTTTCTAATTTTTTTTCAGATTATTAAAATGTTTTTTAACAGTTCAATGTCGACATTTAAATTCAGACTGTTGGAATTCATGCCTGAATACAAAAATTAATTTCTTAGTTTAGTTAAACATTTTCTCTTTTCCACCCAAACACTCAGGGTGACATTTATGGCTTTTCTTAGAAAATAGAGACGTGAAGAAAAACAGTCCTCATGGTGAGTCACAAAGGAGAGGCTGAAGAAAATTGAAACAAGGGCCTTTTGTCAAATGGGTCCAGAGAGTGAAAACTCTCATGACTTTTAGTTAGTCGTCCTAGAGACTTCGTTGGAGAAAGATATACCTTCTGCGTGCGATCATTAAAGAGTTTTACTTTGAAGAATAAAACTAATGTGTTTTTATTGAGTATTCCTACACATAATCCAATACAGACCTTCAAAGTTTAAATAATAAAATCATTGTAACATGTCTACTCTTTATCTAGGTGAAATTGCGACGTGTGAATTCCAAACTGACACATACAGTTTCTCATGACCCAGAGCAAGATCTTCCCCCGAAATTTGACCAAATATCACCAAAAGTAGAATATGACATTACAGAAGCGGAACAGCAAATTGAGACTGTTATCACCGCCGATAATCATCCAATCGTTGAAGATCCTCTGTTGAACAGTGACGAAGTTGTTTGTAAACAAGAGGTAAAACATCGACATTTTTTAAATATGCAATTGCAAGGTCAATTCAGTAGACACATCCGAAAAATCGGAAAAACCTAGTGATTTATCCGCATTTTTAGTACCTTTCATGGAATAATTCAACTGAAATGCAAAGTTTCCACCATTTTAAATCAATTTGTTAATTATCAATCACTAATAATCTTCATTTAATTCTTCCAAGGCCGAGATTATCTCTACACCGACTGAAATCAAAACTGAATATGACGAAGAGTGCCAAGTCGATCCAAAAACTCAAGATGCCACCACAGAAACCTGTATGGAAGTGGAGGGAATTTACATAAAAAAACTTCAAGCTGAAATTACAGAATTAAGAATGCAGTTGGAGAACAATTCCTTCGGCTATGATGAACAGCAGCGAAATGAATCAGCATTTAAATTCTACACAGGTTTCAATTACCAACAATTCGATGTCTTGTGGAACATCCTGAATCCTGAGGCATCGAACCTCCGAATTTGGAAGGGGAACGATACTCCATTGATAGCTAAGCAGAGGTATTCAAAGCGAAAAATTAGTCAGAAGGATCAATTATTTCTAACTCTCACACGACTGCGATGCGGATTCTTACTGGAAGATCTCAGTTTCCGCACTGGTTTGAGTTACAGTTGGATTTCAAGAATTATTGGCACCTGGATCCAGTTTCTGTACCAAAAATTCAAAGATCGAAATGCTTTTCCACCTCGAGAAATTACTAGCAAAAAAGGTCTACCCGAGTGTTTTGAGAAATTCAAGAACCTACGGGTCGTCGTCGAGGTAATGGAAGTGAGCATGCAGAGACCACAGGATTACAAAAAACAAGGAATCCCTCAATCAGCCAATAATGTTCGTAAATTCCTGATCGGTGTAGTCCCTACGGGGGAGATTTGCTTCGTTTCTACCGCCTTCGGGGGCTCTATCAGTGACCGAGACCTCTTTCGTCAGTCTAACATCCTGGAATTCTTGGAGGAAGGCGACGCAGTCATGGCTGAGAGTAGATTCGATATCAAGGATTTATGCCAGACGAAAAAATGTTCATTGATTACTCTCCCACTTCAGAAGAAACGGGAGGCTTTGACTACTGACGAAGTGCCATTACCCCGAGATATAGCATCCATTAGACTCCACATTAAGAAGATAATGGGAAGACTGATAGAATACAGGATTTTACAAAGATGTGTTCCAACGAGTTTGTCATCTATGATGTCTCAAATAGTTTTTGTGATTGCCATGCTGGGAAACTTTGGTGAACCATTGTTGACATGATAGAATAAAATGATTGATTGAAAATCATTAGTTTCAAATGGCTAATCTGTTTCAAATCTAATCATGTGATTTCCGTGATTACAACGACTTCATCAATTTCCCGTTTATCTTTCCGGGTCAATACGTATGAAAAAAATTCCTAGAAAAACCTAGCAAATTCGCTAGAATATTATCAATCTATTGGATTTCTATTGAACATTTTGATAGCATCAGCCAAAAACTAATAGAAAGATCAACGGAAATCCAATAGAAACCAGACTTGAACCTAAGTTTTCAAATTTGTAATTACTTCGAGATATAGCATCCATTAGACTCCACATTAAGAAGATAATGGGAAGACTGATAGAATACAGGATTTTACAAAGATGTGTTCCAACGAGTTTGTCATCTATGATGTCTCAAATAGTTTTTGTGATTGCCATGCTGGGAAACTTTGGTGAACCATTGTTGACATGATAGAATAAAATGATTGATTGAAAATCATTAGTTTCAAATGGCTAATCTGTTTCAAATCTAATCATGTGATTTCCGTGATTACAACGACTTCATCAATTTCCCGTTTATCTTTCCGGGTCAATACGNCAGATCAACAGAAATCCAATAGAAACCAGACTTGAACCTAAGTTTTCAAATTTGTAATTACTTCCTCAAAAGCCAATAGTTTTAAAATTCACGGAAAGCATGAAAATGCACATGCAATTAAGTGAAACCTAATGTATATTTTTTTATGATTGAGACGAAGCGAGAAAATTCTCTAGAAAACAATAAAAATGTAAATAACAGTAATAATGATAATGAAAGAGTTGAATGCCAGTCGAGGAAGATGTTAAATTGATTTCACCAATCGCTTAAAATACCAAAATAATAACTTATCATTCATTGATTTGTAATTATTCAAATATTCATAATTTGATCGGAGAAAAATTATGCAATTGAAAATCCTGTCAGAAATGAAAATAATGTCAACGTTAAGAGGAAAAAGAGACAGAAAAATCCCGGTTCAAACACGATTTTCGCATGTTCTCGAATTGATTATCAAGCTATTTCGTTCAGGTTATGTTCTCTTAATCACACCAAGCCGTCAACATGTGCGGGATTTTTTGTCTTTTTGAACACTGGACAGATCAAGAACTGCAACAAGGTTACAGTTGTTGCGAATGCATGGACTTGGGAGATTGTTCCACCAACAACAGACGCCGAGGACCGGACGATCTTCGTCCTGTTTTCTTCGGAGGAGACATGAACGGCAAGTGGAACGCTGAATTTCGAGGTTGGGTGCTGTGGACCCAGGGTTCCAGCATGACTCCTCAACCCTTCAGAGAAGTAATTGGAAACGTCTTACTATGGAATGGAGATATATTCTCCGGTCCCCTCGCGCAGGATTCAATCTCCGACACTGAACACCTCTATACAGCCCTCGAAAGCTCTGGAGACATCCTCCACACCCTGGGGTCAGTCGAGGGTCCCTTCAGCTTTATATACTACGACCAACCCTCAGAATCGCTGTATTTCGGCAGAGATTCCATCGGACGACACAGTTTATTAATAAAAATTGAAGAAGAGAAGAGGCGTCTGATAATTTCGTCAGTTGCCAGTAAAAGTCTTGAGAAATGGAGGGAAGTACCGGCTTTGGGGGTTTACATGCTCGATTTAAAAAGGGATGATCTCAACTTGACGTTAGTCCCTTGGAGAGAGGCCCCAGGAGCTTCTGATGCCCTGAAAGAACGTCTGGGGGTTGATGTAAACATTAAAAATGCCGTTTTCTCCACTGAAAAGAATGAAATCACCGCAGAACCACTTCCAGAGGATTCTCCATTCTTCAGTTTAATATCTGGTATAGATGATAGGGGAGATGTAATGGAGAATCTTCTCGCGGATCCAAAGATCTCTAAACGCGTCGATGAAGTATTGAAGCGTTTGAGAGAGTCGGTTAGGCTCAGAGTTGAGAAGAAACCCGATTACTGCAGGAATTGCATCGAATCGAGGTTGAGGTATAAAACTGTGAATTGTACACATCCGAAAATTGGGCTGTTGTTCTCCGGAGGCCTCGACTCAACGATTCTTGCTGCTATTGCTCATGAATTCTTACCGGCGGGGGAGAGCATTGATCTGATTAATGTTGCGTTCGAAAAGGCGGAGAAGGAGAATAGGACTCTCGATAAGAAGGGGTGGGAAGATAAGATCGAACAGAGAAAGAAGGAAATTAACTTTGAGGTTCCTGATAGGAAGACTGGGAGACAGGCGTGGGAGGAATTGAAGAGAATTTCTCCGGGGAGAGAGTGGAATTTCGTTGAGGTAGAGGCCCTGTATTAGAAGACTATAGAATTTATTTATATATTTTTTAACTGGAAAAAACAGTAGGATTTTCAATAGGAGTTGAAGAGAAATCCAACAGAAACCATTTGATAGGAAAAATCGGTGACACGTCTTTTCAACTAGGCGAAATTTAAATTACTTTTTTCTATTGACAATTTCTATAGCCATTTCTCAATATGAATTTAATACAATTTCTTCGCTTCATTTTTTTCTCTTTTCATTGAAAGAGTCAAACAAAATAAACTCGAAAATTGAATCGTGGAATTTATATAAAATATATCGACGTTTCATCATTAAATAAGGAAATCCCTTTGGTTTATTAGGAGAATAAGTTGTATAGAAAAAAACGAATTATATTGTTTTTTTTCTGTAGGATATAATTCATTGAATATTTCTATTAAATAAAACGAGCAGATGGAATTGGTCAAAATCTAAAAGAAAATTCGATAGAAATGCAATAGAATTCTCTATGTTTTTCCATGAAATTTTGTCGCACGTTTTTTTTTCCAGTCAATACTCATGATCAAGTTGAAGTGCGTAAACTAAGAAATTTTTCTTCATTTCCAGAGTAACGTAACTCAAAAAGAGTTGGAAGAATGTCTCCGAACGAGAATCTGTCACGTAGTTCACCCCCTTCGAACAATATTAGACGAGAGCCTTGGTTGTGCCCTCTGGTTTGCAGCCAGAGGCTCTGGAGCTCTAGCTGGAACGAATAAATCTTACGAGTCTCCATGCAGGATTCTCCTGCTTGGGATGGGAGCTGACGAGCTCTTCGGCGGCTACACCAGGCACAGGACCATCTTAAAACGCAGTGGGTGGGTGGGACTGGCTAAAGAACTTGAGACAGAAATCAAAAGAATATCTGAGAGGAACTTGGGGAGAGATGATCGAGTGGTTTCGGATCACGGGAAGCAGTCGAGGCTGCCATACCTCGACGATAATTTCGTCAGATTTGTGACGAGTCTCAAGCCTTGGGAGAGGTACGAAAAAATTCAGTAGTGAAAGTATGAAAATGAATTAATTTCATTTTATTTCATTGAATTTTATGGTGTGATATAGGGGTGGGGTAAACTGAACACTTTAGACTTTTTTCTAATTGTTCATAGCTCAAAAACAAATTTATCAATTGAGCTCAGTTTAGACTCGTCACAAAGGGAAAGAATTGTTCTTTGTATTGAAAGAAAAATTATTAAATTTCATCAACATTTCTACCCCTGATTAAAGTCAAAAGTGTCCGTTTTACCCCAACCTCCCCTACTTCTTGTAAATTTTGATCAAGTGACAGAGCCCTTAAAATTTCAAGACAATTTAATCATCGAGAATTCAGAATAAGATGAAAAAATCAATGGAAACTGTTGGTTTCCATTCAATTATAACGTCAAAATTTCATAGATCTTAATTTGTCGTTAAGATTCAATTTAAATTTTTCATTAACAAAAAATCATGAATTATTATATGCAACACCGAATGCAAAATATTATCGTTTTCCCTTTTCCCTTTCAGATGCTGTCCTGTGGAACATCTTCCCCCTGGTATAGGCGATAAACTACTGCTTCGTCTCTGTGCATTTAAGCTAGGCCTCAAAGAGACATCACATTTCCCGAAAAGAGCATTTCAATTCGGCTCGCGAATTGCTAAAAGCCATGAGAATGCGAGTGACATATCAAAGTGGCTCTGATGATAACAATTGGAACAATTATAATAATTAAAGTACGAAACAGAACTGTACCCTATAGAATATTCTCTATTGGATATTTCAAATGAATCGACCAAAAACTAATAGAAAGTTCAATAAAAATGTCTAAGGAATTCACTAGATTTTTTTGTTAAATTTTTTCGTGCGTGAAATTAATTCCTCTTGAAATAAGTGAACAATTAACAATCTTCGAATGAATTATATGATTAGATTAGCATAAATCCCTCGATTGAATCAACAAATATGCTGTGTAATAATCACGAATGTACCGCGTCATATTCGAAACAATTTAATGGAAAAACCGAGCGCTTTTTCCAAGGAATTCTAAAAAAATTGTTTAAGAAATGAAAAAAATCATGTATATGTATATATATTTGTTCGCGAGAAATTAATCGGCGTTGGTTTTTCCACAGACACTAGGAAAAAAAATTCCCAATTTTTCCATTGGATTTTGTAATGAAAAAAATTATAGTTGGAAAACCTGAAGAAAATTTANTACCCCTGATTAAAGTCAAAAGTGTCCGTTTTACCCCAACCTCCCCTACTTCTTGTAAATTTTGATCAAGTGACAGAGCCCTTAAAATTTCAAGACAATTTAATCATCGAGAATTCAGAATAAGATGAAAAAATCAATGGAAACTGTTGGTTTCCATTCAATTATAACGTCAAAATTTCATAGATCTTAATTTGTCGTTAAGATTCAATTTAAATTTTTCATTAACAAAAAATCATGAATTATTATATGCAACACCGAATGCAAAATATTATCGTTTTCCCTTTTCCCTTTCAGATGCTGTCCTGTGGAACATCTTCCCCCTGGTATAGGCGATAAACTACTGCTTCGTCTCTGTGCATTTAAGCTAGGCCTCAAAGAGACATCACATTTCCCGAAAAGAGCATTTCAATTCGGCTCGCGAATTGCTAAAAGCCATGAGAATGCGAGTGACATATCAAAGTGGCTCTGATGATAACAATTGGAACAATTATAATAATTAAAGTACGAAACAGAACTGTACCCTATAGAATATTCTCTATTGGATATTTCAAATGAATCGACCAAAAACTAATAGAAAGTTCAATAAAAATGTCTAAGGAATTCACTAGATTTTTTTGTTAAATTTTTTCGTGCGTGAAATTAATTCCTCTTGAAATAAGTGAACAATTAACAATCTTCGAATGAATTATATGATTAGATTAGCATAAATCCCTCGATTGAATCAACAAATATGCTGTGTAATAATCACGAATGTACCGCGTCATATTCGAAACAATTTAATGGAAAAACCGAGCGCTTTTTCCAAGGAATTCTAAAAAAATTGTTTAAGAAATGAAAAAAATCATGTATATGTATATATATTTGTTCGCGAGAAATTAATCGGCGTTGGTTTTTCCACAGACACTAGGAAAAAAAATTCCCAATTTTTCCATTGGATTTTGTAATGAAAAAAATTATAGTTGGAAAACCTGAAGAAAATTTATGCCCAAGAATTTTTATTAAAAAACTCTGAAAAGTATAATCCATGTAGAAAAAGCTAATTCAATTGAATTTCTTCTATCAAATGTTAATTAAAAAGTAGCGTGACAAAGATCAAAATAAAAAGAAATGAAATGAGGACTAGGAATCACTCAGCACCAAACTCCATACCGTAAGAGACAACATATTCGAGAAAAGCCTGAACATAAATCAAAAACCAGAACAGGTGATTCAGCGATCTATAGATTGAGAATCGGACGCACCAACTTCAGTCACAACCGCCTCATGTGTAATAAGAACCCAAAAAATGTCCAAGATGTGCTGCCTCTTTACGATGACGCACCTTCTGCTAGAATGTCCAGAATTTCAATCCGAAAGCAATGAAACATCACTACCAACAGAGTCGAAGAAACTGTTGAACAGTCGAGGAGGATTTGAGAAAACCGTGAAATTCTCAAACTCACGTAAATGCGAATGTCAATGAAATTCATGAAAATGTTTTTTTAAACGATTGTGGTCGCTTATATCCATAGCCATCGAAGTTCTATAGCGACCTTGAATAAACTGGATTTAAAAAAAAGATCAATACAATTTAAGAGAATTCTTGAAGAGCTCAGATATAAATTCAATAGAATTTCTGCGAGAAAGCATTAGATTTTTCTACAGAATTTTCACGCATGTGTTGATTCGAATGTCAGGAGACGAGAATAGTTACGATCAGAAAAAAAAAACCGAAGATATAAATTGATAAGAACCGAAGTTGCTCGTGTTTTGTTTCTGACTGAAAAAAAAACAGACAATGGAACATAAATATTCAGGAAAAACAAGCACAAAGATAACGTAATTTGCATCGTTTCAACACAGAGACACGACAACAACTCGACCCCAACCAATCGGAGCTGCTTATCATTAGCAAACAAGTACCATTTCTCCATCCGAATGCGAAAAATTGAGGAATGCTGTCAGTAATGAATCGCCCTCAGTGGAGAATGGACGACTATCTCCTCTCTGCGCTCTCCACCGTTGAGAAAAAAAACTCAACACTCGAAATTTCTGATAAGCATTATCGAAGAAACAGCGATGTGTTCCTGAACGGTGCGCCCAAGGGCTTGAAAAGGGAATTCGATGAATTATTCACACCTGAAGCCATTGCGTTTATGGTGGACTTGATAGTGCACTTTGAGGAGAGAATCGAGAGACTGTACAGTGACAGATTGCGGAGAAAGGCTGAGTTCAAGAGCAAGCCCAAGGTCCCGAGGTTCCAGACGGTGGAGGGGAATGCTGATTGGAAAGTCTCGCCTGTTTGTGAGTTGAAAATTAATCTCTTCATTCATTTTTTTTGCAATGAAGCAAAACAAAAATGAATTGAGATGAAATGGAGGGAAGAATCTACTTGCGAAAAAATTTCATAGAAAAACTATCGAATTCGCTAGACAATTCTATTGAATTTCAACTTCGTATTAGTCGATTCTATAGAAATGTCGGACAGAAATTTTTTTACGAAGAAAATCAGTGATTTTATTTTTCTGCCGAACTTGTTCTGTTGAGATATTTTCGATAGGAATGAGAGGAGAAAAACAGAGTGAAACAAATTTGGAAAAATTGTGCCAAGGATTTTTTGTAGAAAATGTCTCAATAAAGAAAGTTGTATAGAAAGATAAAATCAGAGATCGGCAAAAATAATTTCCATTATTATACCAATGAAAAATGAAAAGCGGAAAATCCCAATTATTTTTGTCGTGAATATTGAAACCAAATTAATTTTTCATTCCTGCAATAAATTCCAAAAAATTCCGAAATTCCCTGTAAAAAGATGAGACAATTGTCCCAATTGATGAGACAATTCATCTCGAAAAGTTATTTCTCCCCACTCCCATATGTCCCCATCTCTCAATTAATCCACTGAATCCCTTCAATTTCAGGCGATCGTTTGAAAAACAGACATCTAGATCTGGGTGACGTGAGCCCCAGCAACTTAACTCACTTCACCTCAGCCCTGCAATCCGACGTCCAGGGAATCCAAGTGGACTTTGACGACGGCCACTGTCCCACCTGGGCCAACCAAATTTCCGGGCTCCACAATGTCCTCAAAGCCGTCCAAAACCGTCTCCCCAACGTCCCCCCGATCTCCCAATCACCAGTCCTCGTCCTGCGACCCCGAGCCTGGAACATGATCGAGGCGAACATGAGCATCAACGGAAGACAAGTGCCCGGACCAATCCTCGACTTTTCCCTCCTCATCTTCCACACAGGAAAAATCCTCCACAGGATAGACTCAGGTCCAGTGATCGGCATCAATCATGATTCCAGAAATATTAAGAGAATTTTTTCCCCAAAATAACCGAATTCATTCGTTCATCATTGGAACTTAGAAAACAATAAATAATTGAGAATTTAAATTTTCGAAATAACTATTAGGCAAATAATTGGAAATTTTCGAAAAAATATTAGAGATTATCAAATAATCGTCATTCTTCCGAATTCGATTATTGATCGGTAAAATAATTCGGAATTTAAATATTTGATTGTTGACTAATTTAATAAATGAAATTGTTAAGTTCTATTACTTGATTGAGTATTTATGAAATTAATGATAATGATAATTTATGATTATGCCTATCTCTGCTCAGGTCCCGCCTTTTACCTGTCGAAAATTGAGAGCTCAGAGGAGGCAAGACTGTGGAACGACATTTTCTGGTGGAGCGAATTAAAACTGAGGATTCCCCATGGCGCCATAAAGGCGTGTGTCTTGATAGAGAACATTCTGGCTAGTTTCGAGATGGAGAGAATTCTTTATGAACTTCGGGAGCACTCGTTGGGACTCAACTGCGGCATCTGGGACTATGCAGCCTCCATCATCTCGAAATTCGGAGGTGACGAGTCATTTCTGCTTCCTGACAGGAATAAATACGTCGACATGAGCAAGAGATTCTTGAAGAAGTACATGGATTTGGTTGTGAGGACGTGTCATCGCAGGGGAGCACATGCCACTGGTGGAATGGCCGCTAAATTACTACCGCATCCTGACGATAAAGAATTTGGAAATGTTCTCCGAACGGTTTGCGAGACTAAACTAATGGAAATACAGAGTGGAGTCGATGGATTCATGGTTTACGATGTTAAATTGGTGCATTATATGAATGACTTGTGGAGAGATCATGGGGGACCTTTTCCCAATCAGATTTTATTCTTGGGAAGTCCTGGGGCGATCACAGGAGAGGATTTGCTGAGTTTGCCGAAGGGGGGAGTGACCATTAAGGGGTTGGATCATAACATCAGGGTTTCGATTCTTTTTAATTACAATTGGCTGAGGGGGAGTGGGCATTTCTTTCTGGGTGGGTCGGTGGAGGATTCTGCCACAGCGGAAATTTCCAGATCTCAGATCTGGCAGTGGATTAGGCATCGAGCGAGGGTTGAGGAGGGGGGATTTGTCACCGTGGAGTTGGTGAAAAATCGGGCGGAGGGAGTTTTGACAGGTATTTTAGGGAATTGTGGGGATGATCCTGCTGAGGTGGAGAAGGTTCTCACTGCTTATGATATTTTCTTCGATTTAGTTAATAGAAGGGAGTTTCCGGAGTTTGTTACTTCGTTTATTTATGATGAGTATGTGTTCAAGAAGACTCAGGCACGCTTGTGATAGCATGTGTGAGGTCAATTCCAATGCGTAATTCTTTTTTTAAACAATGGACTATGATCACGGAACGTTAAGTAATCAATTTCCAACCGATTTTGGGCATTGCAACGATTTATTTCCAACAATTTAATTGTTTAAATCGCCCGAGCGCTCAAACTATGGAAGATATACAAAAATTCATTTAGAATTTGATAAGGAATAATTTTTATCATTTGTCAATTTCGCATATCTCCTTTAGATTTCGAGATATGAACAAGGAAAGAGTTGCGTGACCCAACAGCGCTCTCAAGCCCACCACGCGCCGCAAGTAGAGAGCGCTATGTCGGGTTGCGTAACTAGTTTATTGCTCATATCTCGGAATCTACGAGAGATACGTAAAATTGATAATGAATCAAAATTCTTCTTATGAAATTCTGGACAATTCGTGATTTGAAAATTTTCCTCTACACTTCATAGTTTGGGTGCTAGGGCGATTTGAACAATTTAATTGTTAATAATAAATAATTCCAATGCCTAAAATTGATTGAAAATTGTTTACTTGACGTTTAGTGATCATATTTTATTGTTTAAAATAAGAATCACGCATTAGAACGCAAGTGGTCGGTACATGTCTGAAAATCGAGTGTCCCGCAACTCGCTAGGGGCTGTAGGCGCGGAGAAATTCGGGAGTCCGCCCATCCCCACTACTGGATTTTTTTATCGTAATCTAATCAATTACTTTCTATGGAGTATATTATTCATGAAAATGTTTTTTCTTCTCAATGAGAGAATTGTGAATATTTGTGGAGGAAAATTGTATCAATGTTATGCCTATACGAAATATGAAATAAAATACTTTTAAAAACTTTTTTATTAAAAAAGGTTGCGTTGAATGCTTGTTTAATTCAAACAAAAAGTACTGAAATACGGGGAAAACTTTGGACTATGCGTTCTCACCCCAAAAAGGATGGAAAAATGTGAAAAATGGCTTAAACATTGCTCCTTTTACAGAAACCGAATGAAGCGAGTTGAGGATGATGTAACGAGGATAAATAATTTTAAGAAATGTTTAAAAATAGGAAGCGAGGGCGTCGCCATCTTAGAAGCCTCTTATGGCAGAGGGAAGGGGTCCAAGCAAGATGGCGTCTTCCACACCGACCCACCACATAATTTTTTAATATTTGTTAAAATTATTCGTCTTCAGATCACCATCCATTTGTTTCTTTCGATTCCTAGAAAAAGAACAAATTTTCCAAGCTATCCGTCATATTTTTTCATATTATTTTGGTACATTTCAGGAGTTTTTACTCTCGAGACCACCTCCACTAGTCTGCTGTGCATGGCGAGACTGCGCAGTCAAGTGGCAGTTGCAAAGTGAAGCACGTGATGAATCACAACATTCGTAGAACAGCTGATTATAGTGTTGTATACAAGTTCCTAGTAAGAACATACCTAACAACAAGTGATTTGATACAAACTTTCATGTAATTACTCTACTACTGAATTTCATAATTCCCATCTAGAAGCTCTTAGAGTGAAATTCCGGTTGAAAAATGGTGACTGCAGATACGGAAATAAGAAAACTGACGATTAGTGAGTTGAGTTCCCTAGCCAGGGCACTCAGTCCTGACTCATGGAAAATTCTCATGGCGAGTATAAAAATACCAGGATCTAAGGATATTCCCCGTTTTACGAGTGAAGATGTCAGGTTAATAATTTATTCTCCTGCTTTTTTCCAACATAAATACATCAAACATTTTATTTCTAATAATTTTTATTAAAAAAATGTATATGTTGTGCCCCAAAATAACGTTATTAAATTCCCCCGTTGATCCGGAAAATATGAGGACACGAAAGTGGCACATATTATTCAAATCGAAACAGAAAATGAAGAAATATAAAATAACGTCGATATTCGTGTTTAAAAATCCCCGTATATTCGACGAATGTGGATAACTGGGGTGCGGAGTCAGCGCTTGGCGGCCTCGTGGAGACATCATCGCGGGTGCGACAATGACCTGATGCAATCGAATCCACGAGGGAATTAAAACTCATAAATTCAATTTCTGTTGGCCAGTAATTCGACGACTTTTTAATTACCTTTTTTACACTTTCTACTCGCCTGATACCTTCAGTATCAGATCAAATTCTAATTTATTCAATAAATGGTGAATATATCGCTCAAAATCAATTTTCAATAAAGATGCTTATTTCTATTATTTATCCGCGTGTGATAAATTCGGTTAATCGAATCCATGCACTCGGGTCCATTACATATATTTCTATGGGTCCACAGCGTTTTAGGCCACAGAGAAATAAACAATAAATTTTTTCGAATCAGATTAATCGAAGAAGCTGGGAAGAACCAACAACGTCCAGCCGCTGAAGTGTTCTTGGCGGAGTGGTGTACTATGGGAAAAACTAGACCGACTGTGGGTTCAATGATTCAACTGTTGGTTGAGACGAATCTACTAAGGGCAGCCGATTACCTAGCAGTGGATGTTTTAAAAGGTGAACGATTCAGTATAAACTGTTAAATCATTCCGGGAGTCAGTTAATTTGGGAGAAAATGTGAAGCGAAATTTTTTCTATTAATCATTTAATTATTAAACACTACAGGAGATCCTGCAGAACGTCCCCAAGAAGGTCCAGCAGCTGCAGTGGACCTCTCAAAATTACTCGAGGAAATGAATCCCCCAGAGTCTAATTCTCCTACAAACGAAGAGGGATCACAGTTCTGGAACAGATCAACAGCAGAAGCTGACGCCAATAACGTAAATTACCCTGAGGGAGGTGTTGGTATTATCGAAATGAATTTCGTTGAAGGGCAGAACAAAAACGTCCAAGACTTTCCTGAGAGGAATCCCCACGAAGTTTCAGACTTGATGAAATTCTCGAAGAGCACCGATGGAACTGAAGACGAAAGAAGTGACTTGATAAAATTCAGTTCGAATATAAAGGAAGATGAAAAATTGAGGGGTAGTGAGGATATTGTTGAGGTAACAAATCTTCTACCGAGTATCTCACTCTTGGGCATCAAGCCCTCGCAAAATAATGGAGACAACAGTGGCAGTAATTTTTACACTCAAACGACTTCGTCAGTTGATTCTTCCGAAGCGACGATTTCAAGGACAGACGCCCAAACACTCTCGATGCAGTCTAGTGATTTCAATCTGCCTGCTATGTCTGAGATCCTCCCAGACGATTTGAAATCAGAGAATGACGAGTCTGGAGAGGACCAACAGGAAGCCGATCCTTCAGTAATTTCAGGAAATGTTCAAGACCTACCTGTGACAGTTCTAGAATTTTTCAAACGATGATTGTCAGCGATTTTCAAACGTTATTCGTGTGAAATGTCATTTTTTACTCCATTTCAAAAATTGATTGTCAAATAAGAGCGAATGGACAACATTTGTGGGATATACAGGTTCTAGGAGAGGGAAAATTATCCATGGGTGTGTGACGTTTGGGATTTAAGAGGTTTCCTTGTTGGTTCCTGTAAAATCCTCGAGAATGGGCATATTGGAAGGGTTCAATTTTCCAAATAACCGACGATTCTTCTAATAATTGAATGATGAGAATACACTGTTAGGAAAAAATGAAATTTCATGGACAGTTGACTACTAATTTTTAGGACAACAAGCGCGAGTCATAAGCTCGCGTTGATTACGTCCCTGCCCTTCGTACACACCGCCCGTCGCTACTACCGATTGAATGATTTAGTGAGGTCTTCGGACTGGTGCGCCGCAATGTTACGGCAATGCCAATGTTGCTGGGAAGATGACAAAGCTTGATCATTTAGAGGAAGTAAAAGTCGTAACAAGCCTTGACTCAAGACAATTAAACGAGTTCCTTTTGAAAGTCGTACTGCTGTCTCGCTGATGATGCTCAGTGTTAACACTTTCTTAGAGTTGAAAATATTGAAATAATATTCAATCCAACGCATATTGGTGACGACACACGTCACAGATGAATGTATTATATCTCAATCAAATACTCCTTGTTTTTATATAAATTTCTATATTTTATATGATAAATATTTTTTACGATAGAATATATAATGTAAAACAACTAAGTTTCAAGTGAAAGATGCAACAAAATACTTAGTAAAAATTATTTACAAGCCACATAGATATGCTCACATCCAACACTTAAGCTTAACAAAACATCACAATATCCAAAGATAAATTGAAAAATAAATGCCATGGATTTGACTCGTACAATTACTGGAATGGATATTCTTATAAATGTCATTAAACATTGAACGACTTAGCTGGTGATGGCGAATATCAAACATCGTGAATAATAAAGAGGTCTATCTACTTATTTTGATTACAAATCCTCTTGCAATTGACTATTATTTTTACGATTAACTATCGTTGGTCTGTTTCATTGCAAAGTATGCACTTTGGAGTTCTTTTAAATTGCCCTCGAGGGTTGCTACCTCGTCATATTTACACTCAGCCCGTGCCTGCTTTATGTAGGACCGTAGATTGTTCATTTGCTCGATAATTGGGTCCATTGTACTTGAGGGGAGCATTGCGACTGCACTCGATGGCCCCCAGCCATCAGATTTTTCCATTATTGGCTGTTGAATACACATATTTTCATCAATTGACCAATTAATAAATTCATAGTGAAGAGTAAGTAATTAATAATCAATAAATGAATAGAGTTTTCGGCCCTGAATTTTCGATTTTTTTTCTCTGAGAAAAAATCTCTACCTCATTATTTTTAACCGATGAACTGCTCATTCCACTCTTATTATCGACCCTCTGCTCCTTTCGCCTCTCCCTCAAAGCTTCTTCAATCTCCAACTGCCTCTCGAAGGCCACTCGCTCCTCAATCCTTTGCTGGCGTTTCTCTTGAAGTGCAAGGTACACCTCTTCACTTGGCAATGAAGGGATTGTCAGTAGATGCTCTTTCAGAAAAATCATGGCAGAGGCTCTGACCATCTGGTGGAGTCTGAGGGCCTGCCCCTGCGGTGGATTGTCCACATCAGCTGTTCCAATCGCTAGAATTCGTTTGCTGATGTTGTCCACGTTTTCACCTATTTTTGCTATCTTCACTCGGAGGATTTGCGCGTCTCGGAGGTCGTACGTCGTTTCTCCTTCACTGGAAATTTTTTCGAGATACTCATTAGCACGAAGAAACCCTTCAATATAATTCTGATGTAACGGTTTTAAGCCAATCTATTCCATCTACTGTTTTTCTATCGATTTTTCACCACTCGTTCGTACTTACTTGAAGGACTCCCACATTTTCTGATACATCGTCATGAACTTGGTCGCCTCCTCCATGTAAGTCCTCATTGTCTCATAAAACTTGTTGATTATTGGTTTTGAGAATTGTCGTGCTTGTAGCCTCTGCCTGGCGTCCAGAAGATTCTTGCAGTGAATGCACAACCGAAAATGCTGTTCACCACTCGCTGGATCATTCACCAATGACAAAACACTGTTTAAACTACTACTCGATGGAGAACGTGCAAGTTTTGTAAGACCGATTCCAGCTCGGAGGATTCTACCTGTTAAGTGTGATTCTGGCGCTGTTGGCGAAACTGCTGAGTCGTCCTGGACGGATACTGGGCTCGTCATTTTCCCTGGAAATTATCGGAGAGTCAGTGTGAAAAGGAGTTGATGGTTGATGATGATTTTTCTATGGTACATACTGGCATCTAGTAGAGATAAGAACATTGTGCAGTCGTGACACATTACAGCACCACATAGCCTGCAGTGATGCTTTCTCCTTGCTAGGTGGAAACTTCTGGCGCAGTTCGGGCAGAGTTTAACGTCTTTGTCGTCGATCCAAGGAACTATGGTTTTCTCATGGACTGCAAGATTGTGAAAGTAAAAGAAAAACGTTCATGTTGGCTTTAACGTTAACATTTATTTCAATATTTGAAGAAATGTAAAAAATTTGAAAACACTCTGTTTCTAAAAAGATTTTTGAAGTTTCATTTCGAATCGAATGGTATTCTCGATCAACTATCTTACAACAGATTATGCAATTCTGAAAATCAAAGTTACCTTTTCGATCGATTGGATCAGTCGGCAAATTATTCAATAATTTATCCAATCTAATCAGCAGTTTATTAGTTTCAGCAGAGTATCTCTCCAGTCTTGCATTCCTGATGTCTCTGAAGTAAACGGTATGCGTTTTTATAGCACCTATGAATCAGAAATCAAGTACCAATAACCAAAATACTCTTAATTAATTTATAAAAATTGATTCAATGAAATCCGATGATCTACCGATTTCCTGTGGCCCCCAATTGATTTCAGGACTCGTCCTCCGCTTGCTGATCGATACATTTGGCTCGGATAAACTCTCATTAATCTCATCCTGCTTCAGAATCTTTTTCTTAGCTTTTCCGAATAGATCTGGAAGATGAAAAAAATCAGTCATTCTATCTGTATTATCCCCTGGGCTATTCTACACGGTTTAACCTTAGATGTTTTTAAGGCATAAATTACTTGGAAAGCGGAATGCTATATGCTATCCATCGACTTTCCGGACCTCTATATGAGGGAAATTATTGAATAATTATCAATGCACAAATTAAAAAATTCAGTTGGGGTATGATCACACATCTTCTGTTTGCCGGACAGGTACTCTGCCAATTGAGCTATTGTGGCTTCCTCCGCATCTCCGAATTTCAGAACTTGTGCATATCGTCTGTGGTGTATCAGTCATTCTATTTCGCCTCTGGTTATTCGAAATACAGATTTATTTTATAGCATTTTATTTTTTTTGCTTCGAGTTCCCAACGGAAGCGCGTAAATTGTAATCGTTTACATTTAAGATTTCAATTTTTTTAATCAAAGTTTCGAGACAACATAGATAGCATCATTCCATCATTTGATTAATACAAGAAATTTCACAAGAAATCTAACACAATTGATCATAGAAAAAATATAATTCAATCGAGCAAAATAATGTAAAACAATAAATGCAATAGGATAGAAGAAGATTATGTCATTCTTAATTTATTAGCAAAAATAGCTGTATTATATGAAAATAAAAGCAATTTTTCACTTGTTTTTACCTTTGAGTGATTTTAATATCTCGGGATCATCATTGTGAACCTCCTCAAAATGTTTTGTGAGCTGACTCGGTGTTTTCAAATCAGTCATGCAGATAGGACATATAAATCCCTCAATAACATCCCCGTTTTCAGCCATTATGATCAATCAACTCGGTATTGAACTAATGGTCACACTCCTGACAGTTGCAATTCAACCGGGCGTTGGATTTTTTTTCCGGGCGAATTGGGGCGTAACTGATATTATTTTCAGGAAGAAATATTCTGCTCTCGATTTATCAATCAGCTGATAATCCGCCGTACTGTCACAAATTTTAATCGCAAATTGAGGTTGGTATGACTGGAACACGTAGGGATTTGTGGGCTTTCCCTAGGGGCTAGGGCGGAAAAGTTGTTGGAAATTAAAAATTATCGGCTTGAACGGTAAAGTGTTTTTCAGATTGGAAAGTGAAAAGGATAAATTGTTGTATAGATGAAAGGAATAACAAGAATAATGATGATGATAACTTTCAACTAAGTTGAAAATCTGACAAAATTAGTTGAAAAGAAATCTTGTTCAATTTAGTAAAATGAAATAAACAATGAATTGTACGTGATAGAAGGGAATTATGTGCAAAATAACCATTCGGAAGCATATTGATAATTTATTAGCAAAAATAACTATACTATATCCAATGCAAGAGCAACTTCCCACTTGCTTAGATTTCTTCAGGTGTATAAATACATTTTTCGTTTAATTGAACCGCACAAATTCCAATTTTCCGGTAATAAATCTGTTCAGGAGAGGATATGAAGATGTGACGCTTCGATGTTGCTTTTATAATGAGAGGTAAATGTACAAATGTCGGTGCGAACCGTTTTCCCTATTATTCGTAAATGATTCGCTAATTTTTAATTTGTAATTTTCTTCAGAGGTTTTCTGAGAGGTTTCTTGAGGTGTATAAATACATTTTTCGTTTAATTGAACCGCACAAATTCCAATTTTCCGGTAATAAATCTGTTCAGGAGAGGATATGAAGATGTGACGCTTCGATGTTGCTTTTATAATGAGAGGTAAATGTACAAATGTCGGTGCGAACCGTTTTCTCTAAAGGTCAGGGAGTTGTCTCTGAATTTTAAATCAAGTTCATTATCCATCCCTCATATCTCTCACTCATGACATCTCCAAAAACAAGAGTTTTTATTATGTATTGCATAATACTTTATAATTTGAATGACGAAGAAAAAAATGTCAAAGGGCAAGTGCCAAGTCCAATGTTCATGTTCGCTACCCGCCATTCGTGCGATCCAGCGAGATTTAGGGACTCAGCGAATAGTCGAAGAGTCGGCGATCGTGAGAATTCGGTACGGTATTATAACGCTCGGTACTTCTCGGCCTGCCAGTTCGTTTCGAGAGCGCTGTTAGCACCGATAGGAGCAAAGGTCGACTGGTCTGGGGCCCTCATTCCAACTACTTGTCATTGACGGATCAACAAGTTCACTAGTTTCTCATTATAATTACCATTTCGATCAGTTTAAAGAAACTCGAGGAATCATGTCGGTTGCAACAAAAGGTGATAATAAATATAGTATCTGGTTGATATACCGTGGGTAACAATTATATTGCAATTTTTTCGCCGGTGTTGCGATAAGCTGTGATAAGCCCTGAGAATACTTAAGTATTTAAGTAAATTTACGTGACGAAATTTATGCAGGAAAAAATTATATTCCGATGATTGTTTTTATCGTTAAATATTCTGATGATTGTTAATATTTAGTTGAGAGTTAAACGGTGGAAATTTACTGTTGCAGTCAATGAATGGATTCATATTTATTACACGCAGAGATTACATGTGCAAAAAATTTTTATGAAAAAGAGCAGCGAATTCGCAAGAGAATTCGATGGAATTTTTATTGAATTTTCCATTAGTTTTTTGCCGATTTTATTGAAAAATTCATTTGTTTAATGCAGAATATTCTATAGAAAAATCCATAAAATTTGATTTTTCTATATACATTATTTGAATTTGTAATGAAAAAAGTAGAAAAATAGAGTGGAAAAAACTTTGAAAATTCATGCCGAAGAATTTCTATAGAAAATATCTAATAAAAAAACTATCGAAAAAAATTGTATAGAAAGATGAAATTCTACTGATTTGTTCTACAAAATAGTTTCTATTGGACATTTTCCCAAAAAACAGTAAAGCCGCAGAATTCTTCAATAGAATCGGCCAAAAACGAATAAACATTTAATAGACTTTTGTATCAAATTTGCTAGTTCTTTCTGAAATTTTTTTCGTGTATGAAAAGAAGGATACAAAAAATATAAATGAAATATATTTCCTAGAAAAAAATAGTTTTCGGCGGATGCGATTGAAAATCTCGTACTAAAACCTAGAGAATTCAATTAGAGTTTCATTAGAATTCTGTTTAAATTCCATTAGAAATCTAATCTCTTTCAAATACATTTCCATGCATTCAATTGTTCAATCTTCGCAGGGATCTACTTTGTAGCCGCTAAAAGAACCCCATTTGGGAAAATGGGAGGTGTGTTCGTCAACAAAAGTGCAACGGATTTGTCAACTGTTGCTGCAACGAGTGCAATCAAGGCATCAGGTCTCAAACCAGAACAAATCGATCATGTTATATTCGGAAATGTTTTGATTGTACGTAGATTACTTCTCATCGATTTCCCATTGACTTACCAATACCTCCCTTGTGATCGGATTATTTCGTCGTTATTTTTTTAACGACTGAAGATTCATTTTCTAGAATTACTTAACGGGAGACTACTATGCGTTTCAAAAGTCGCGGTATTGGAGTAAAATTTTTCATAAATTGAAGATCGATTATATATTCTATAAAAACGAATAATTAAAGCACGAAAATCACTTCAACACTTCAAGCTTCTGCGGAGCAAATAAACAATAAACAATTAATTGTTTTGCAATAATTATTCGTTTTTAAACGTATAATCGACGTTCAATGCATGATAAATCTCACTTCAATAGCCCACGAATTTTAAAACTGATAGTAGTCTCCCCTTAATACAAAAAAGTCGTTTTGGCGAAGTGCTTTGCTATGATCCTTATCAGTATGACATTTGTTCCTGTTTTTATTTATTAATACTTCCCCCCATTCGTCGTAATTCCTCTATTACAGATGACGACAAGTGATGGTGCATTGTTACCACGACATGCTTCATTGAAATCTGGAATTCCAATGGAGAAGCCTGCATTGGGAGTCAACAGATTGTGTGGATCTGGTTTTCAATCTATTGTGAATGGGGCACAGGTACTCCAGGGGATAAAAAAATCTGAAGGATAGCTTGCAAAATTTATTCTCTTTCTAGGAACTGAATGAGACCTGTTGGAGTGGATCTGAAAAGGATGAATAATTTTAAGAAATGTTCGAAAATATGAGAGGTTCAACAGGTGTCAGCGCCACCACTTGTTGCATACCCCCTCCCTGTGCCCGAAGAGCCTTTCAAAATGGCGGCGTCTCCACCTCGTATTTTTAAACATTCCTTAAAGTTATTTATCCTCTTTCGATAACACTCAACTCACTTCACCTTGTTTCTATAAAATGAACAAATGTTTTGAGCCATCTTTCAGATTTTTCGATCCTTTTTTGGCTGAAAATTCATGGCGCGAAGTTTGAGTGATCAATGTCAATCGAATTTTTCTCAACAATATAGAGCATCCTCTCTGAGGAGTCTTCAATAGTTCTCGCCGGTGGAGCCGAGAACATGAGTCAAGCCCCATTTGTAGTAAGAAACATTCGCTTTGGAACAGCACTAGGGCAAAAATACGAATTTGAGGATTCGTTATGGCTCGGCCTTCTTGACACTTATTGCGGTCTACCCATGGGTATGACAGCGGAAAAGTTGGGGGCCAAGTATGGCATCACGAGGGAGGAAGTCGATAAATTTGCTCTGAGAAGTCATCAGAACTGGAAAGCAGGTACCTGTCAATCCTGCGTAATTTCATCGATTGGGTTTTGAGCATTTTCTCATATCGCTTTTCCCCTTCAGCCAATGATAATGGATATTTCAAAGCTGAGATGGCTCCAGTTTCGGTTAAAACTAGGAAACAGGAAGTCGAAGTTACCGTTGATGAGCATGCACGGCCTCAGGTTAAGATCGAAGATTTCGCGAAACTTCCGTCGATCTTCCAGAAAGATGGATTAGTTACTGCTGGTACAGCATCTGTGAGTTATTTATTTTATTAGGCGGGACGCGCGCGCTAACCAGGTTTCATGGGATCGATATATGTCGTCATTCTTTAAATTCTAATTCCCCTGATTTTCACGTTCTGTAACAGCAAATACGCTTTATTCTTGGGCGCGACTTCTTTTAGTTTTTCAGTTGAATTTTCTCAAAACTTATCCCCAAGGATTTTCATAAACAAAGTGTTGAGGGAATTACTTGTATAGTCCAATTAAAAACTGTTGATTTTTTCTATTAAATAAAATAGAGTTCCCGTAGAATTCTCATATGAATCCAATAGAATTTCTATATGTGATGAACAATTCAGTAGCGAAGTGGTAAAACGGTACAAGTCAATTTTGACTATTAACCAGTTTTCAATGAATATCTCGGAATCTACGGGAGATAGCAAAATTGTTGTTGTAACCTTTCTTGTAGAGCCGATTGAGAGCTACAACAAATGTAATCACGAAAATTTTGCTATCTCCCTCAGATTCGGAAATATTCCTCAAAAACTCAACTGGGATATTAGTCGACTTAAACCGGTCGCTACTAAATTGTGCCCATTTCAGGGTGTGTGTGACGGTGCTGGGGCTGTGATATTAGCCAGTGAGGATGCCGTAAAACGCGAAGGACTCAAACCCCTCGCTCGTTTGGCGGGATACGCAACTGTAGGTGTAGATCCTAGTATTATGGGGATTGGACCAGCCCCTGCTATTAAGAATCTTCTGAAGAAGACCGGCAAGTCCCTGAACGATATTGATTTGGTTGAGGTACGTGTGCAGAATAATATTCAGTACTGTTTGCGAAAAAATGTCATAGAAAACTGTAGCGAATTCGCTAGAAAATTACTATTATTAAAATTACTGAATTTCTATTGAACTTTTTATTCGTTTTCGGCCAATTCTTTTGAAATATTCAATGGAAAATATTCTAATGAAAATTTTCCAAGTTTATTTGTTTGATTTTCTTGATGAAAATAAAAGAAAAATGAAAAATATTTTATAGAAAAATCAATAGATAACAATTTTTCTGTATAATTTATTCTATAAAAATTCCTCTGTTTGATTTTTCAATGATATTTTAATGAAGAGAGAAAGATTGAGTGGAAAAGAATTAGAAGATTCATGTCAAAGAATTTCTATAGGAAATTCTACAGGAAATTCGCTGGAATCAGACAAACACCAACAGAAATTTCATATTTAATTCCAGAAGTTCCCACACTTTAATTCCTATTCTTTCTTCTTCAATTCTTTTTATAGAATTCCTAATTGAACTTTAGAATACTGTTCTTGAAATTTTTGTATGAATCAATCAGAATTTTTTTTTATTATCAAAATCTACGCAAAAAACTTGTTTCAGATAAATGAGGCATTTGGTGCACAAACATTGGCATGCGCCAAAGATCTCAATCTCGATATTAATAAATTAAATGTTAATGGTGGTGCCATTGCTCTTGGGCATCCTCTCGGTGCGTCTGGAACGAGAATAACTACACATCTCATCCACGAGTTGAGGTAAGACGTTTAATTCAATATTCTCATCGCACAAATCAGATCTCGTTCCACGCGTTTTATTAAAGTTCAATAAAGCGTGAAATAAATTCATGGAAACGCGAATAAAATTTGATTTTTCAATTTTTTGTGTAAAATAATGTTGCAAATTCATTCAGTCATGAATTGAGAAATTTGTTTCAATGCATTAGAATATAAATCATTCAATTTATTATTGTTCTTGTAATTGCAGGAGACGCAGCGGTAAATTCGGTATCGGATCAGCTTGTATCGGAGGTGGACAGGGAATTGCCCTTCTCATTGAATCTATGTGAATTTCCTTTTGAAAAACCTACTCTATCCCATGAAGAATAAAAACTTGAGAATATTTTTGATAAAGCCCTTTTAATGGAACACGTTTTCTAATCAAAAACTGCTGGTTATTTATTCCAGAGAACAATTGCCTGAATGCCTAACAATTATGCAATGTAATTTTCATATTCTTGATAAACTCTTGTGTAAAAATCATGGTTACTTTATTTTGGAATCAATTACTGTCATTCACCGAACCCCTTCATTTTCATCGTTATCATCGTTTTAACGATAGAGGCGTGAAAAAACATTTGGATAAATTAGTAATATGCTTGCCAATAGTCATTCTGCACATGATTTTCTTCCATTAGAATGGCGAATTCGCCATGTTCTTCTATTAAATTTTTTTATTCCTAATCATTCATCGTTGTATATCGTTTTTTCAAATTGAATTTAAACTTGAACGATTGCAACGCTTTTACTTGGGAGCAAAAATATGCAGATGTGTAAAAACGATGATTTATTACTCGTAAAATTCTTGGTTACAAAAATTAGAAGAAAAATTATCATTGATGGAAATCAATGTACAGTACAAAAATAATTGCTCATCATTGCTTATGTACAATATCGAACAACTGATCGCCAAGTTTTGCGAAATCCTGTGAGCATTCGCAATGCTTCAACATATTGGAATTTATTCTTTCATCGCCGTAATACGCCCCTGCTATGGCCCCTGCCATACTGGCGATTGTATCAGTGTCACCACCGAGAGTTATCTGAAACGAAAATAAAAATCATCATCAGAATGTTTTGCGATTCATTAGTGAAGTCACGAAACGTGGCAGCTCTTCTAGAACATCAGATTTTTCATATCTTTTCAAATTTTGAATCAACAATGTTCATTTTCTTCTGAAAGTCTGTGAATAAAATGCAAGTTCAGTTGATTCTTGATTGAAAATCGACTTGGATTCATGCGAGTGGTTCACACGGAATTTTAGTTTCGTGAAGTTCATTATGAATCTACTAATTTCACCCGAATTTTCGAAATACCCACGAATTCTCGACAAACTCGCGTAGAATAAATATTCTCTTTTGGTCCAAAAGAGGGAAAATCGATGATTGACAGAATTGTTGTCTTTTTTAACTGAAAGATCAACAAAATTCTTAATTTTGATGAACACAGACCCAAGAAAGAAGATGAAAAACACTGAAATATGAAAAATCCTACGTTGCTTGCATTTTCAGTGATACATGTCCTATTCTAGAATTCATCATTTGGTAATGAGTAATTAATTAATAACCCACACTCACAGCATATTGAATCGCTCTCCGAAATGGATTATCAGTATTGATCCCCGGAATTGGATTCTGGGCATACAAAAAGCAGAAAATTGCAGTGGGCACCGCGTGCATAGCTCTCACTGAGGTCCCCAAATTTGTAACCACCTCTTCAACGTCGAGTCTGTTCGGATTTTTCAATGACTTCTTGATCATATTTTTCATACGGATAAGTTGGGTTTTGTATGGTTTTATCTCAGCTTCATCCATTTCCAGGCTAACATGAATAAAAAACGATGAGAAAATAACGAATAAAGGTTTTGAGTGGAATCAAGACGACCTGAAATGTTCTTAATGTGACGTGTGCGGGATCTCTTAAAACCCCCACGTCACATGAAAAATAGAAAAATGAACTCACAATTCTTCCTCATCTTTCTCAATGTTATTCATCCTGTCTATCAAATCATCGATGAATTTTTTAGGATCCAACTCTTGGTTTGGATCCAGTGAGATTGTTTTTTCAATTGCGATTGCCTGTAAATAGAAGGATATTAAAACCCCCAACTTTCAATCTCAATGCACCGTCATTTCGTCGTTGATCGTAAATTTACTTGTAGAATAGCGCCATTAACTCCGTCTTTATGTGTATGAGTTAACATTGCTTGTCTCCTCGCCATATCCACCAAACGTTCATAATTATTGTGACAGAATAGAGATACTGGAGATACTCTCATCGCAGCACCGTTTCCGAAAGAGCCTTGGCCATTAAATTGTTCCTTAGCTGGGCCCTCCAGATCAGTGAATTTATTTCCTCTTAACTTGGCGAACACCTGAATGACGATGGTCAAACAGTTGAGAATTCTTTTGTATGAATGCAAAATTTTTATAGAAAACCCTAGCGTTTTCTATAAAAAATGTTGTTAAATTCCTATTTCAAATTCGGCAATAATTCAATGGGAGGTTTATCAGAGTTCTTGTTGATAGATATTTTTCTACCAAAAGAAAATATCAAGAGAATAATGTATACAAAGTGATCAAAATCGATTGACTTTTTTCTAACAAATACCTCTAAAAAAATGGCAGGACAGTTTTGTAATTTTTTATTGAATTTAAAAAGAATTGTAGTAGAACTTCAAGAGAATTGCATGGAAGAAGCGCTAGGTTTTTTACTTAGTTTTTTTAATACGTATTGAAGAGGAAAAGACCTCTCCTCACATGGAATAATGTAACATTCCATACTAACAAGCATGACCCCAACTGCATAACCCCGATTTGGCTCTTGATAAAAACTTTTAACAAATTTTTTGGCCAAGTCCAGCAAATCCAAGTCACCTTTATCGATCAGGGATTGCGATAGATCCCTCGTCATAACAGAGTCATCCGTTAAAAGGATCACAGGTGCTGCAATAATTTACACAATTGAGAATAGTTTTGAAGGGAAGTGACAAAAATTAGTAGGAAATTTTTCGTACGTTAATGAATAGGAGCTTATCTGAAGAATTTTTCTAATAAAAATTCTGTATTAGTTTTCATTTAAAACATTAGAACCAATAGGTTTACTCTGTTCTGTTTGACAAATTTACATATAAATCGTGATATGTTCACAAGTTTTTCTTATATATTGTGTACAGTAGAATGGTCGAGTAATATGGACTCCATCTCAGCGATTTCAGATACTTTACTTTATTTATTTCTAACTAATGAAAGTCGAAAAACGACTGTTCAAGTGACGCAATTCAAGTAAAAAAAAATTGTTTATTAAATTTTCTTTATTAACTTTTGTCTCGATTTTTTTTTGCTCTTGGGAGTACTAAGGAGAATAATAATTTTCCATTCAGCTCAGTAGAATTTTGTCTACTGCTGTCTGCATCCCAGCTAGCAGCCTAACGTCGCCGAGGCCGCCTTACTGATGCAAGTTAATCTGTACAATATGCACCAGAGTCGTAGCCATGAGAGCTATCACTCAGGCACCCCCACTGTGCCCGCCTTCTTTTCCCCACTGCGGTCCTGTCCAAGTTCTCTTACGGTTGCTTTTTGCAGCCCACAGTGAGGTCGGAAGTTGCAGGCCTTCAGACCCGCAAGCGCACTATGGTCGATCAGTGCAACGAAGTTGGAATTTTTAGCGTCTTTAGTTTCACTGCCACGAACGACAACCCACTTGCTGGCCATCAGACCCTTGTTTTGCTTCTCAAGGAAGCACAATGCTTCCTGAGACGTAATCTCTGGGTCCTCCACGTACACCACTATCGAGTGCTTTTTTGTAAGCTCCGAGAGTGACACAACGTGTACGGCGTGCCCACTTATTTTGTTTTCAGGAAATAGGGTTTTCAGCCAATTTTCTGTGGGCTTATCTGTGCAGTTCACCACAACCGCACCGTCCCTCTCCCAGACACCGTCGAAGGTGGGTGCCTTGACTCCATCCGGTAGGGCTAAAATAGCCTCCTTCAGGAGCTTCTTCACCTCTGTCACCCCTCCGGCATCCAGTTTTTGGTTCGGATACGATTGAGGTATCACTGCCAGTTTGACTGAGTTGACATTTGAGTTTGACTGAGTTTGATTGAGTTTGTTCTGAGCATATGTGCCTTGATCCCCCCTCTTGTGCTTTTTCTCTTTCAGCCTATTGTGAGGACTGGACGGGTTGTGCTCAAGATGAAATCGTTTTTCAGCCCTTTGAGCTCCCCCAGTACCTCCCACTTCAGTCTCAGAGGCAGTCTCGACCAAGGTTTCTAGAGCCCCCGACCTCTGCTGTTGTCTTCGTCTTCGTCTGAGCTTCCTCCTATTAGCTGCACTCGGCCTGACCTTTCCTGTCAATGGATTAATTGAAAAGAAAATGAAACAGTAAAATCTAAAGTCCAGAGCAAGGCCCATGGGGAGGCTAGAGGAGGAAAAAGGAAAATGTGATGCTGAATTTTAATCGAATCAAGAAAGAAAAGCGTCATCGGCCTAATCGAATCAATTGAATTATCGGGTAATAGAAAATTATTATTCTCATCAGTACTTCCAATAGTAAAAAAAGTTTATAAACAACAGTTGATAGAAAATTTTTTTTTGCTTGAATTGCGTCAGTCGTTTTTTGGCTGTTTCATTTTGCGCCACTCTCCCCTGTAAAATAATTTAATAAATGAACTCAAAATGCACTCAGTCGATTATGAACTTAGCATACTTGCCGCATTTCGGATTAGAAAACGGTCTCGTGTCTCAGTACGCAGCTGACTCCTACTTTATTTATAATTATATTATTCAATAACGTTTGTACAATATTCACTTCTCCAAGAAGTGTCATTATTTATCTTTTTCGCAGGAAACACCTTAAGATATTTTGGAACTCGTGAACAGTATTTTTTTTTTCAAGAAACGACTTGCATGATTATATACATTTATTCTTATCGATTTTAGCGTTTCCCCCATGTACTATGACCATGCTCAACAGAGTGCATTAATAAATAATAAATAATAATAACAATCTGGGAAACAACTTATGCCAACATTAATTTTGGTCCAAAACAGTGCTTTTCAAAAGCCGAAACTATTTCACAGAAAAAAATGGGTAATCATTTTTCTATGAAATTTTCTTGCAAAACAAAAACAATATCAAAATCCACTGGTCACAGGCAACTGCAACACTAATTTCCTAACCTTTAAACTCCGGTCCCTCCAATGTATCGAATCGTTTTTGGAGAATAACTGTATTTCCAGGTGTCATGGGAGGTTCACCCTGATAAGCAGCTCCCAGACAATCGCCTGATAATGCTCCAAGGACGGATCCCCGGAATTTCTGTCTCAACACTGACAAATCCATTTTATTCAGCAACATCACCGGATCCTTCTGTTTATCGCCTACCTCGCTGCGGAGTTTCTCCTTTCTGCGCATGCACCGAAACATTCCGAACATCTCATGAATTCCAATGCTGCTTCACGAAGCCAGAAAAATCCCCATTATCATTATTTATAAAAAAAAACATCTCGAAAATGAAAAAAATATCAGAAACTTCGATTAATTGGAAAATCCGAGAAATTGAAAATCTGCGAAATTTTGACATTTTTCGGCGGCGAAAATGTTTGATGACCTTGACTCCTTCACAATCCCCAATTCCGCTAGAAAAGAAGGTGTCAAAGAAAAATGGTGACCCTCTAAGGCCCGATTGAAGTCTCCAGTGAGAAGAAAAAAATAATAATAACGATACTGTTATAACGTGGAATAGTTACGCCCGGACGAACAAACGAGAGAGATCTTTTTATAGAAAGGGGCCACTGATATGCCCGGCAAGAACTGTGATTATTACACCGCGCAAGGGGTGTACACATCCACGACTTGGGGGTAAAAAGCCGTAAATGACGGTATTGAGGGTGCCTGATGCGACCTTTTGGCTTTGAACTGACGACAGATATTTATCGTCTGGGGTCACAGTGTCTTCAGTTTCTACTCAACTTGAATTTGCCGGGATCCTGATGACACCTAATTCTGTTGGATCGATCAATCAGTGGAGTGACGATTAGTTGAGGGGACGGAGATTGCGGGGGAAAACAGGTGGACTGGAGTACTACGATTTTTATTGTTTGGAAAGTTCGGGATTCCAAGGGGTGAGAAAGCTGAGGGGAGAATTGAGTGACACCGTGATTACAAAATGTAATCGATTATACGGGATTACGTTCCCGATTAGTGATTGGATGATTACAGGTGATTTCATTGATTACAGCTGTAGATTCCTAAGTCTGTATCATTTGCAACATGAAACACAACTCTTCGTTCAACTTTTTGACTTGAACTTTCTGTTTTGTCCTTATGCTTGACTCTTGGGCTTGACCTTCATCCTTGATTCTTCCTTATTTGACACTTAAACTTGACCCCTTGAATTTCAAACCATTCCCTCCTGATCAACCCCATTAAATTAAAATGATTATTTCTTGCAGCTATCGATTCCTAAATCTTTATAATCATTTGCACCATGAAACATACAACTCGTTGTTCACCTCATCGACTTGAACCTTATGCTTGACTCTTGAGCTTGACCCTAAACGTTACCGCCGTCTCATAAAATCCTAATCGGAATTATGACACAACCGATTTCAAACGATTCAATCTACTCCAAATGACCACCTCCCGATTACAAAAACTGATAACAAGAAATGTAACAATGCGATTTTATTGATTACCTCATGATTACGAATGTCACCAGCCCCTCCATAAAATACATATTCTACATATTCCCCCATGCAGCAATGCCCACTCTCCAATCACCAATAATGACCCCATGACCTCGGAAAAACCCATTCAAAACCCCAATCGATCGAAAACACCCCCCAATCATCCACATCCCTCCCGCCTCCCGCCCACTTGAAATCACAGGCAATCGGGAAAAACGTACACTGAGAAAAACAATTATTTTTGCCAAATATTCATTTACTTGAGAGAAGTATTTATTTTCGCAGTACCGTATTTCCCCAGCGGAGTCATTCCCAGGGAATCCTCATTAGTTTTCAATTGTGTCAATTATATTGCTCTAGAAGATGATCATATTAGTTATGACCTCGAATGAACTCCTTCAATAATTATCAACATTAAAAAATTAGTCGAATTTCTTCCCTCTGGAAAACAAGAAGCCCGTAGTCCTATAGAAAAAGTCACAAGAATTCGTTTGTCTACACAACTTATTCTATTGGGACATTCTCTACAGAATTTCCTCGGCTCAAATTTTCCAAGCTTTTCTGTTTGATTTTCTCCATGAAAAGAGAAGAAAAATAGAATAACAAAAACTTGGAAAATTCGAGCCGAGGAAATTCTGTTAAAAATATCTGAAGAGAATAAGTTACATAGAAAAATCGAATTCTATTGAATATTTTCTATTGAACATATCAATAGAATCGACCAAAAAACTAATAGAAAATTCAATAGAAATCCGACAGAATTTTCCAACGAATTCGCTAGGTTTACTATCAAATTTTTTCGTGCGTGTTATAATTGAAATTCATTCGGATTCGCCTGGGAATGACTCGGTTGTGAAATATAATTAAAAAAAAAATAACTGCTCCTCTCAAGTAGATGAATATTTATTTGGTATTGAAATATACAAAAATAATTAATTAAATTATCAAGAGTGACGTAGTTGGTATAAATGAGAGTGGATGCTTGGGAGGTCTATACGACTCTCTGAAGCTGATTGTTTATTTAGCGTCATATAAACAAATGACGAACTCAAGAGAATGAAAGAAACGACTGTTCTCCTTTATCCCCTTTGTGGTGGATATGCGTATTGCTTATTAGTTATTTGATTTTGAGTCTAGTTCCTCGACGGCTCTCAGAGAGAAAGCACGTCTCTAATAAATGGTATCATTGCTCTGGTTAAACTGATTCAACTTATTTGCTTCCATAACCTGCATCCCACATTCCAACATTTGGCAAAAATAATTTTTTTCTCACTGTATAATTTCCCTGCACTTCGCCCCCCTCCCCCCAGCGCACGTCTCCACCCACGGGATGCAGTAGTGAGAGGGCGTGCGATCTGTGGTTTCTTCGGAAAGGACAACCGCGAGTATATATCTGTGGGTGAGATGCCACGCGGGGTGGGTGGAAGCGTCGAAACAGAGGCAGAAGCGACGGCGGAGACGAGCCTTGGCCACCCCCGGTTAAACCCGGGAACGAACAGTCTAGCGCCGGCTGTCTGTCGCTACGGGTGGAGAGCACAGCTCACAGCTCAACGAATTTTTAGTTGATTTATTTTATCAAATATAAACAATCACCGAATTCACTGAATAAAGTCGAGTGAAATGTCGAGCGTGTGGCCAGTGTATCCGAATTAATTCCCATAAATTCAAACATTTAATTGTCCCTCTGATAATTAACAGTGATAATCAGCCGGGGGCATCGATTGAGAGCAGCCGATTAATCCCCATTGAAAAAAATACATCGGTGAAATTAATCTCGAGTTTATGTGATTTAAAAAAATGCACGGGTGCCAGACAGCTCGGCGACAATTCTCAACGCGAGGAGGGAGTGAGAGGGAAATAGAGTGTGACTCTTCACACGCTTGACGGATACGTACACGAAGGGAGTGGAATAAAGAACTGGGACGCGTTGAGATACACCGGAGAGACAGAACGGAAAAATAGAAGGGATGAGTTTTTTTAATATGAGGGATACATTGATGAGATGTTTTTGTTTCATTGTCACGAGTGAATTATCAATTATGCGTTGGAAAGTGGTGAAAATGCCGTGAAGTATTTCATGTCGAATATTTCATCGCGACGACATAAAACAGAACAGAGGAGTTCCATCGGGAGAGAGAGAGAAATAATAATGACATGAATTTATTAGTGTGAAAATGTCTAATGACTACAAATTCACAGGGAATTATCATCGATTGATGCTATCGATGCAGTTGTCGGGCGTTCAGAGAGGTGGAAATAAAGGAAACATGACACAATGTACATGCACATAAAACTCGCCTCAGCCTCATCCCATTGTTGACAATATTTTCTTCATCTATCGGAAAATATATCTGAGGATTTAACAATGGAGGATGAATCGATGTCAATGAGATTTATTTGATGGAGCTCGGGAGCTTCTCACATTTCTAATAATAAAAGAGAAAAAAAAGCGTTTCTCGATAATCGGGGAGAGGATTTTTCAACACTTTACGCTGGAGAGTTGCCTTTTTTAAAAAGATGAATAAATCTTCATTGGAAATCACGGAATTTCGTCTAGATTTTTCGAGGGAAATTCATTGTTGATAAATCTGGTTGTAAATTTCTCCGTCCACTCTTCTATCTGCTCGTTATAATGAAAGATGAGCCGTTGATTGAATTTGTTGTTTTATCAACTGTACATGTGGCACTCATTTGATGGAAATGCATTTGCTGAGGCGGGAGAATGGAAGGAACGAGAGCTAGTGACAATCACTGCTCCAGGACGCGGGTCAGCCCGGTGTAGTGGCCGTATATTCAATGCATATCGTGATTTAGTGCACTTACTTTTCAATTTGAAATCAATGATGAAACTTATCTGAGGATCCGGTGCTGTCGATACTGTGGGATTCCACGGAGAGTGGAAAGAGAGCGGGAGTATTTTTCCTCACTCCTTAAATCTCGATGCCTCTTCGATGAGTGAAGCCATGATTTCTCGTGGGACTGGATAGGAGGAAAAATGAGAAATAATTGAGGGAAAGAGGATTTCGAGCGAGAATTATCCTCGTTGGATGAGTCAGTGGCTCACTTGAGGAAAAGTATGCTTCATACTTTTTTTATATTTCTTATCATTGAAAAAGTTTTTTCGCCTGTTTTTAACGCTTGGGGAATGAATGAAAGTGATAGGAGAAATGAGGACTTGGATTTTAGGGGATTTGGAACTTTTAAAGTGTAAAGATGCAGTTTTGAAATACTCAATTTATTGGTTTAGGGGAGAGTAGGGCAACATGAAACGGAAAAACGACTGGTTGACGTAATTCAAGCAAAAACATTTTTTTTATTACGTTTTTTTCTTATTCATGGGAGTACTGGAGAGAATAATAATTTTCCATTCGGTAGAATGGAAAGTTATTAAGAAGTTTTGACGGGAGATGGTTTTGTCAATAGATTAATTAAAAAGAAAATGAAACAGTAAAATACAAAGTCCAGGGCCCAGGGGAAAAAAAAGGAAAATGTGATGCTGCATTTATCATATGAAAAAAGAAAAGCGTAATTTGCCTATCTAATTAATTGAATTATAAGACGAATAGAAAATTATTAGTCTCATCAGTACTCTCAATAATAAAAAAAATTTTTTGCGCTTGAATTGCCTCAAATAATCGTTTTTCGGCTGTTTCATTTTGCGGCGCTCTCCCCTATCTAATTAATGATTGGCGAATTCAATGATTACGAAAAACTCACATTTCCCCGTTTTAAATTGTATTTATTAATTATAACACTGGGGCAATTGGAATGAATCAAGCACGAAAAAAAATCATGGAAAACGTAGCGAATTCGATGGAAAATGAACATTCTATTAGTTTTTGTCCGATGCTATTGAAGAATTTCGCAGCGTTATAGAAGAGAATACTCACCGGCTCATTTGAGAAAAAGTATGCTTCATACATTCTTTTTATTCACACTTTTTGCTTCCGAATGGAGGCATTGTAATCGTTCAAATTTAAATTTTGGATTTTTTGTGTTGTAGCGACCCGTTATGATCCAAAAAGTCCGAAAATGCAATTTTTGGCCGTGTCCGTACGTACGTGTCCGTAAAATGTCTCAATAGAAAGGATTCAAAATTCTACTGATTTTTTCTGCAAAATAGTTCCTATTGCCCGTTGTCTATTGAAAAAAAACATGGAAATCCAATAAAATTTACCTAGGTTTTGCAATGAAATTTTCTCACGCCTGTCGATTTTCCCATTAAATTTTTTCACACGTTGTACAACCGGAAGTGGCATTAAACTTAAAGTTGATAACCGTAGTGATAATAAATTCATCACGCGGTTATTGCATTCTCAGTGACCATTAACGTAGTCCAGAATTAAATCCAAAATCAAGAAAAAAATGAAAACGGTTGGAAAAATTCATGTCAATTTTCATAGAAAATGTCTCAATCTCTCAAAAAAACACGGAAATCCAATAAAATTCACCTAGGTTTTGCAATGAAATTTTCTCACGCCTGTCGATTTTCCCATTAATTTTTTTCACACGTTGTACAACCGGAAATGGCATTAAACTTAAAGTTGATAACCGTAGTGATAATAAATTCATCACGCGGTTATTGCATTCTCAGTGACCATTAACGTAGTCCAGAATTAAATCCCGGCTGTCTCTGTCGCGGTCTAGATAGTCCAGGTCGTACTTTATCGACTCGGGCGAATATCGAGGAAGCCGACGGACAGCGCAGGTCACGGTCGAGCGAATGTTATAATTCATTGTTCATGCAAAATACATATTTCTGTTCCCAACAGAATAAAATGCAACAGAGCATTGCCCGTCCTTTTGATAATTGAATCAATATACAGAAGTTCTAGATGTTGACCGCTGGATTCTCCCTATTCTTTTCCAGGGAATGGAAGCCACGACGATTGGGTCTCTAGTGTCAAGACCCTGAGGTGACATTGAGCGAGAATTGACACGTGGCTAAAAAACACGTGAAACAATGGCAACGCCACCGGACTCACCGGGCCCTGAAGAGGCACTGTTCGAGTTCGAGAGCTCGAGGGCTAGACAGCATACAACAAGACCGGTGGCTATTGAGGAGTTGTTGAGACAGACGAAATTCTCGAGGCAGGAGATACGCGTCATGTACCGCGGATTTAAACAGGTATTTCGTTAATTAGGATCATAATCATGAGAGCACAGGATACTTAGGATAAACAGGAAAATTTCTGGGCGGGCGTTAGCTTCCGGACGATTTCAACCTGCATTGGATACCCCATAAATAAAAAGGAAATTGTACCGATTACTTCACCGTTCAGTAAAATTACTCGTGTATAATCACGTGATCAATGATTTTCTCTTTTGACCGATATTTAATAAATAAAAAAAAGGCTCAGTCCGGCTGCATTCAACTATTTCTTAATTTAATTCAACAGTGAAGTGGTAAAACGGTACAAGTCAATTTTGACTATTGACCAGTTTTCAATGAATATTTCGGAATCTAAGGGAGATAGCAAAATTTTTATTACAACCTTTTTTGTAGAACCGATTGAGAGCTACAACAAATGTAATTACAAAAATTTCGCTATCTCCCTTAGATTCGGAGATATTCCTCATAAACTCAACTGGGAGATAAGTCGACTATCTCCGTTTACCACTTGGCTACTGAAATCTGCGCAGGAAAGAATATCCCAAAGATGTAACACTTCGGTGTTGTTTCTAATTAAAGCTGAATATAGCAATGGGCCTCGGGTGACAAACAACCCCAGTGTAGCCGTAGAACTCAATTTCATTTTATCATCAGTCTTGCTTGATAGCAGAATACCCTCTTACATTGATTTTTTTCAAATGACAAATGAAGCACTTCCAAATCCCACAACCCAGCGATTCCCAATGGATTTGATCGGAAAATATTTCTCGATGTGCGACCGAATCCTCGTTTGGCAAGGATCCTATGCTGCAATGTCCCAGTCAAAACAGGAACGTTTCCAAGTTCGGTATGAATGTCGTGAAAGCATCGTACTCACCAAGTTGCCTGAAGTAAAAAAAATATGGTATACGACAGTGCTGCGAGCGGTGCCATTGCCGTGTTCACTAAACGACGAGTTCAAGATTTATTCGGAGATTTATATCAGAATTTTGTGGACTTAGTCTCGGTTACCACGAGCAAACGATGGAAATAGGCAATATACTTTTAAACTTGGTTCGGGGATGTGATACAGGCAGATAGGTTTTTCGTATCAAGAGTTATTTCAATTTTTATGATCAATTCCGGAGATAATATTTTTCGAATAAAAAATGATAACTTCTAGGGTTGAAGTTTGTGAGGGCTCTGTTGAGTGGATTGGCGGGAGTGAATTATTGATTGTTGTTTCTGTCTCCGAATGGAAACTTTGTAATCGTTCAAAATTGCGTTATCTTGGATTTTTTGTTGTTGTATTAGTCCATTATGATGTAATGATGAATCCATGAGTTTGATTTTTTTCAAACATAGGTCATTTTGAGCCGTATTTACTGACAATAGTTGAAATTTAATCCATTTGTTGATTTTTAGAATTTTAAAATTTTTTCAAAAATCGATTGTTCCACGATAACAAAAAAACTTCTGAATTCATTGAATGGTGGCTTAAAAAATGTTTTCGATGTTCCTTTGACCGAGTCCGAAGATGAAGGCGATAGTAATGACCGTTGGTTTGATTTATGGAATAATTTTCAAAAATTTCTTATTTTTTGAAAATGAAATAAAAAAGCATACGCAAAAAATTACAGTCATATTACTGACAAGGTCAGCTGGCGCGCAGCTGTAAAAACTATTTTAGCTCTTGCCTATGTGCGTGTGTTTCGAGTACACAGCAGGTCATCACGAATGCAATATTCACCCAACTATTGAGCGTCATGAATTAAAGATGGAAAATTGAACAAAATTCCCAAACGAAAGAGCTACACCCCGGCATTCTTGGAATATCACCAGTTTCCATTGCCGTTGATTATTGTGCCTCAATTTGTCAGAGGTGTGCGGGTGAAGGGGAGATTCATCGGGGCAAATATTTGCTGCGAAAATAGTATCAACCAGGCAGTCCAGTGTGCTTGTTTCGACCAGTAGTGTTTAGATTCTATTCATTCTCTGGCTATATTTTCCCGTTACAACTCTCGATCCCCAGCGAATCGATTCATCTAACGCCATCAACTGGGCTATTTGTAGGCACATTAAATCCTAGAATTTGTGGGAATTCTAGGCGGAAATTATTTTTAATTTACATTATTTTAATGTTTGTAATCTTTCAGCCATTTTTAATCATGTGATCAATTATTTTTTCTATGGATCGACATTTGATAAATAAAAAGAAATATCCCAGTCGTCCAGAAGTTAGAGGTTTCGGCTGCATTTAATTTTTTCTTAATTTAATTATTCTTTGTTTTGTTATTTTCACTTCAAATAATTTTTTTCTGCTAATTACAATATTCTTGGAGGTGTAGAAGCCATCATATCCCAATGTAGGGGATTCTTTCATTTTAGATTCCACCACGAAACTCGAATTTCCCTTAATTGTCCAGCAATTACCCTGTTCACTACACCTGTTCACCTACAAAGCTTCCATTTGGCACACGGAGAGAAATATCCAGTAAAAATCACGGAATAATTCACGTAATCCGCAATGGGGAATCGTTTTCCGACAATTTCCATAGGAATGGAAGAGAAGAAATCTGAAACGTCCAGTGAATTTCTATAGGAATATAAGAGAATAAATCTGAAATGTTCAGTAAATTTTCGGGTCTGTCACCGAAAAAATACGAAAAAGTCACGTAATTTTTCTGGAAGTTGTAAAATCTAACAGAAACTTCAAGACTTATTATGCCTCAGAACATGAAAATTCTTGAATGTTTAAGAATTTTTACGAAAAGTTCCGACAAAAATTACGGAACGTGTTGTTAAAATCTCCCCCTCACTGACTCATTGCTAGCCGTGAGGCGTCGGACGGATGAGTAATTTTTACGGAACAGATCGTAGAATTTACGTGACGATTGACACTTTTTATTGAATTTTACTTCGCTCCCAGATTACGTTTCGAAACGTAATTTTGGCGTTTTTTTCTGGTAATTTTGTTGAATTTTTCTCTCCGTGAGGCTAAATTGGATCGCCGTAGGGCAGGCCCCCAAACGCACTAGTATCAACTGAATAATTGAACCGAAAATGCCATTCTTCATCGATTTTCTCATCGCATCAACGGAACATTAATTCCCTCCATTTTTCCTCCAGAACAATGTTAACTTGATTTTCCGTGGCTGAATGCTCGGCTCGCAGCCCCCGCCCCGCGTTCCACCGTACCATTTTCCAATGCTTCTCATTTTTATTCCTCCAACCACAGCAAAACCTCCACCCACAGAGTTGGAATATGAATTTTGCATATGCAAGATGCCTATCGGGCACGTGTATGCACATTGGCTGGCACTCGTGCGCCCGACGAATGCTGAACATTTCATCCGTATCGCTGTTTCGATAAACACTCCTGCAAAATCAATAAATTCAAAGTGGCAAACCGAGAGGCGACGGGGGGATGTGGGGTGAGGGAGAAAAAAATCAGGACGAGAGTCGGGAGAGAATAAGTCGAGTGTAAATACAAAGTTTCTGGTTTATCACAACTGCCGACATCAATAATTGTCAGTGGTACGAGTGACGGGAATAATGATCATTGAGGAATTGAAATGAGCGTTGAAGTTTGGGAAATTCTGGCGATAATGGGACTGGGTCTCGCTATTGTCACTAGATAAGGCATTGTTGTTTGCACGGTTTGCCGAGGGTATACAAACCGAGTTGCTGTGTGCACATTGTCCTCAAACTGATAAGTTGGGAGGCTTTGAAAATTGTAGAGTAGACGATATTGCAAGATTTTTTTCGGATTTTGTGACTCACCGGTCGTTTAATATTCCATTTTCTACTTTACTTTTACTTTGCATTGATGGAAATTTGATGGATGCTTGTTTCATGATTCGAATGATTCCAAAGATTTCGTAATCAAGAGCTGTAACCAATGGATGTACTTGCAATCATCGCTTGAAATAAATGTAGTCATTTGAAACTGTTTGAATCTTGCGCACGAATTTTAGTTGTTGAAAGCCCAAATTCCAACTATCCAGTCAATTGTGCCGCAATTATGGTGAAAATACCGTAGGAGTTGGGGGTCAAGTTTAGGTATCAATCACAAGGGTCAATTGAATTGACTGATCTACATGAGGAAAACATAAGGGTCAAGCGAGGAAGGGTTAAGCGAGTAAAGGTCAAGCCCAAGAGTCAAGCATAAAGGTCAATTTTGCAATCATGCTGTCACTCAATTCAAATGTGAACAGCCCCTCGAAACAAATCTGAAGCATAACCCAAAACCCTGATTAAACTCCGTAACGAATTACCGGTCGACAAACGATTCCAGAATGTCGACGTGACCAGTTGGCAGTGGCATAAGAATGCGGTTAGCCGATGACCATTAACCAGGAACCAAGGGTATATAGGTTAGTGGTTTCCGGCGAGGCTCGAAGATGGTCTAGGGAGTCCAGTTGTGCAAATCGAGTCAGCATGTATATGATCCTAGAACCACACAATTTGCCAGTACAGGTGGAAACTAGTGCATTCGCCTATAACTATGTCCAAAAGGATGCACCAACTTTGGAGCTATCCCTCCAGGGTATCGAGCGTGTCGGCTTGTTCAATGAGGATAACACACAGGGTTTATTTATCTTGATGACCTTTGCGCGCTTCATGGCAATTAGGGGTGAGAAGAGGAGAGGAGGAAGACTGACGGTTGAAACAACTGATTGGCCTTGGCTTATACCGCAGCGTTGGGCTGATAAAAATGCGATAATGGAGGGATGTTTATATGAGGTATTTAATTTAATGGATAGAGGGCTGGTGGATAGCGATATGTGAGGTGTCCAGTCGATTGATGGAGAAACAAAAGAAATTGTTCAGGGCGGAGTGAGGAATTCAGTGGCGAAATGGTAAAACGATTCACATCGACTGAGCTCTTAGCTGAGTTTTCTCGGTATCTAAGAGGGATAGCGAAATTTTCGTAAGAACCTTTTTTGCAGATCTCAATTCGCTCTGGAAAAAAGGTTATAACAAACATTTTGCTATCGACCTTAGATTCCGAGATATTCATCAAAAACTGACTG